TCCAGGTCTGACTGAAATGTTTTAGGATTTTTGCCACAGGTTTTGGGCAATTGGCCAACTTCGCGTTCTGAACACAAAAGAACTCTTTGGCAATTACTGAGGCCCCTAAACATTCCAATTTAGTGTCTTTTAAATATTTAGGCACTGCTATCAGAAGAATCATTTCACAAAGTCAAATTTCTTGKTTTTGTAACTGCCTGTTATTTACTTTATTATTTTTGGTGAGCTACCCTGACTCAGACTTGTAATACGAACCATTATATTCYCAACTGAATGCTTTCCTGTTTAGGGTTAGCCATGAAAGGGCATTTATTTTTGAAAGTCATTCCACATGTTCCCATCCTTTGTTTGCACAGCTGTAAAAGGAGATAACTTAATGGAAAGAACAGTCTTTCAAACAAGAAAGAATCATCTTCCAAGACAGCCATTTCACTTCCTTTGTGCTCCAGCAACATCTATAACATCATTATTAAGTCTCCTTGGGCTTCTAAAATGAAAATCAATGTTTTTCTTATTATGTGGTATGGATTGCATTTTTGGGCTGATGATGCCTGCAGACCTGCACTGTGTGAGTGCATAAAGTATGTAATTTATTGACAGCTGGAAAGCCATTTTGGCATTATTACATTTTAACATTACTAATTGTCACCACTTTTCTCACGTGCTGTAAGACTGCAGGTGACCATGAGATGAGAACAGGACTTTCATATGGAAGGCAGCTGTGTAGGTCTCTCACTAACTGTAAATAATAAATGATAAAGCATRGTTTGATATAAAAATAATTCTATTTCACTTCAAATACATAATTTTTGTGCAAGTGAAGAATATGGAGTTTAGTAGCACGTACTCTTCAAATGAGGTCTGCAGGTATGAAATAAAACTAATTTAAACACATTCTAATCACAAACCTAACAGAATGAATGCTACTAATTGCAAACCAATAGTATTTTGGTGGAATGAGGTGAAACCACTGATCATTTGTATTTATAATTCTGCTCTCATATATGCATGGAGAAAAAAGTGTATCCCAGAGACAACTAGGCAGGAAAAATCAGCATCTGGACAAAGCCCAGAGTGTTTGGATCTTTTTGTTTATCCCAGCAGATGAGAACAATCTGATTCCACCCAGTTCTTTGAGCCTCACAGTGGCAAACCTGATATAATATTTTCATTTGATTTTCATTAACGCACACAGACTTTACTAATTGCTATTTTTTCTCTTTTTACGGTCTGTCAAACGTATCAGGAAATGTGTCGATTCGGGTTAAAATTGCATGTCAATATTTCCTGGTATTTTCCAGTCAGTGAGGCATTTTGTTATTATACTAATTTTCCTTGCAATCTATTTGGGGCCCAAATGACCTGAGCATGTAGATCAGGTGTTGTGTAYGTAATGTGGGTACATTTCTGTGTAGCAGCTTCCATGTCTATCAGTAGACCACAATCTATGGTAATGGRTAGAGATTGCTGGCAGCAGTGTTCATTAAAGCCTTTAAATTGGAATTCTTCAATTAGAAGTCACAGTTATTCAATGAGAAGTCACTGATCTTGCAAAACCATTCACAGTCCATATCAATTAACTAATTTAAAAAATGGACATTTTGTATTGGCTATTGAGGAATTTTTTGTCTCTAGTCAATGCAATCAGAAATTATGGCTCACCTGTGAGAAAGCAAAGCTGTAGAGAAAACTCATAAAACAAATCACTGGTAGAATGAACAGCAGGATTCATCTCCCATGGCCTGGCCAAAAGCATGGGATATACATAGGTAATAAGGAAGTAGTGTGGGATTAGCCAGACTTGTCTGTCCTTCTCTATAGACATATTTGAGGTAAGGTGTGAGGTGTTGACAGCTCAGCTCAGTGCTCTGTGTTGAAGARCAATCTCCAGGCAGCTGGAGATACYACTGATATATTGGCAGCTCAGAAACCACCAATATGTTCTGGCAAAGCAGTTTGYACATTTTCAGTATTTAAAATTTTTCAACAGCATCTTTTGAGAGGACTAGATCAAAGACCAACTGGTATCATTGAGCAGACAGTCAAAAGAATGCCTACAATAGAAAGAAATGAGGTTAAATGTTCTGACAAAAGCGTATGTTGCCTGGATTTCTTGAAGACAGAATTTGATGTATCAGGCAATTAAAATCAGCATATGCTGGCACAAAGCCAGTAGATTTCTTTGTTCCCTTGCACCTCCTTTGCTTTACTTGGCTAGGCTATAGAAAAGAAACATCTAGCCTTGTTTTACTGGGACTCAAATACTAACAGGAGTGATAATGTTTCTGAAGAAGATATAGGTAAGCAGAACTATTCTTTTAATATAAAATCTCAGCRCAGTGGCCTTTGGAGGTAACTGTAAGAACAATATGACCAGACTTACACTCAGAGGAAACATAATCTGAGGAAGGACCTCAAAAGCCCATCTAGGCCTTCCTTGTGAAGTTCATGCCAGATTCAACATGGCCTAAACTATTCCAGGATACTAAATTCATCTGTACTAAATAATGTCTGATGTTGAAAACCTCACATGACCTCACCTGCCTTTCCAGGCACTCTCCTCTGCTGTTCTCGCTGTTAGAAAGTTTATCTTTGTGTCTAGAATCAAACTTTAGTGCTGCACTTTTTTTTTTTTTTTTCCTACATACTTAAAACTGGCTTTACCATAATGCTGGAGGAGAGGTAGGAGTACAAATGTGTTAAGATGCTAAATATTGATAAAATTATAAAGTTTCCATGACACTCACCATATCAGGAGGAAGGTAGAGCGGCCAGAGACACTGATGCAAGAAAATTGTGCTCACAAATTTCTGACCATCCCCAGGTCCACAAGGATTTGATGGAACCAGAGTTCTTCCTCCTGTGAATGCCACATTTCCACCTTCAGTTGTGTTTGAAGTGGTTTCACAGAACTGATGACGGGATATGTTTGTTTAGCAAGAAGGCCACTTCAGCTCCTGATTCTGCTGTTCAGTGGCTGAGAGTCTTCAAGTCTGTGTCCACAGCTGCGTGTTCTGTGTAATGGCACACACAGATTTTCAGTGCAGATATTTACATTTCAAAGTAAGATGCCGAAATTTCTCATTCCCTCTTCCTGTTACATGTGGGCAGAAACATTCCCTCTCTGTGGGTTTTCAGAAATACTTTGTATCTGGATATCTTTGTTTCCAGATAGAATAAAGAATGAAGGAGATGTCCATTACACTGATTTTGAGAATATRTATTTGCCCTTCTCACCCTCCTCTAAGCTGAATCCATTAAAACGCAATGATGCACGTTTGGCAATTTTTCAGTAGCTGTTGAGAGGTTTTAGTGTTTTCTGAGTCCTCATGTTATTGTCTTACCATGTGAAGTTTGCATGCTGTGCTAGTCCACATTTTCCTGCTCTTCTKTTTAAATGCTGGGAAATGTTTCTGACGATCTTAATGTTTTTGAGAGCTCACAGAGCTTGATTATTCGACTGGGCAGACCTTTGGGTTATGGCTCAAATATTTCAGACCAGATTAATGGACTTGATTTGTCTTCTCCCTGGAGCATRTATTATCACCACAGCAGAGATCTGGAAACTGACAACACCACCTGGAACTGTTCCTACCAAACTYTAGGAAAGACTATTTACACAAGAATTTTCTGCTTAGAGGCCGTGAAAGAATTCTGTTAATTTGTAATCTTGTTATGCTCTTTTTCTAAGTATTTTGACATATCTTCAGCTGGTAAAAATGAACATCCTCAGGGGAAAAAAAAATGCTTCTTAGAATATCTTGAAAATTTGGCCATTTAGCAACGAAGTTTTTAAGCCAAAAAAACCCCAAACCAAACAAAACGAAGCTAAACTAAACCAAAACAAAACCAGGCATAACAGTTAGGCTCATCCTGGCTTTGCATCTAATGGGTGTCTTGCTATTCTAAAAGCAGTGTAGATTAGATTATTTTACAGTTAGGAGCTCTTTTTTAGCATTATAATATTTTTTGGTAGGTTGAGGTTGTCCTAAGTGCCAACAACTGGCACTTAGGTACCTTTGTTATCCATGACCTTTCCTCAGTGCAGGACAGACTTAACTAAGACACATCTCAGCTTTGAGGATCTAAAAATAACAGATGGGACCCATCTGCCTCCCAAGAATAGGCAGGAAACAGCCTTCTCCCTTTAGCTACTTGATGTTATCTTCAGCCTCAGGATGTTATCTGACTTCTTCTTAAGACACAAAAATTCTTGTGAAGAAACAGAACCAAATACCTTGCAGCAGTTGTAGAGYTTCTGTAACTTATTTCCAGTAGCTTTGTTAGGATGAATTTCTGTGTTATCCAGTGCTTGATTTGGCACCCAGTTTTCCCAGTGTGCTTGATTATGGCTTCATGCAGTAGCAAATCTGACAAGGTAATTTTTGGTTTATGTTGTGCTCTCRGGAAACTGATTTAGTTTCCAGGTTGTTCATTTTTAACAGATATTGATGAATGGGTGAGGAGCAGCTGAAGCATCAATATACATTGAAGTTGTMGGTGTGTTTTTAGGTTATGTGTTAATGAGTGAATGTTACAATATCACTGCCTGTATCACACTCATTCCAAGCCTTGTGAAGAATTCTCTGGCACTGTTATTTGTCACTGCCTGAGAAGTACAATCAGCCTGAGCTAGGGTTATCTGTGCAGCTGAAACCAGTTCTGGTACCCTTATTCATGGAAAAATAAACTTCTGCTACATTGTGCATGGAATTTCTGCAACMCTAAATAGTGAAATATTAGCAAAGGGAAGTTTTGCATCACTGTAGGATGCCCTTCTAGCATTACCTTGTCATCCTGGTGTTTCACTCTCTTGTCACCTGCTGATTGTAACTGAACTGTGAGAMACAATCCATTTCTGAAACACTAAATAAGTGTAATAAATGTGTTTCTCCAGAAATAATTATTAAAAAAAAAATTAATTAAAAACAATAAACCTATTTAAAAAACCATACCACAAAAAATGCTAAAATATTTTAATTTTTTATCTTTCATTTTAGTCTTGGAACTGAACCAGGTGATTATTCCCACTTACGGATCTGTGCCAGACCAGCAAAACCTCCATACTCCTGAATGGGTGGGTACCTGTTTGCTTTGACTGTGGCTACCTGTWGAATTTTCTCTTGTAGATATGCAACAGCCCAGTAGCTGTTGCTGTAATCCCAATTTCCCTAAAGGTACCTGAAGTCATTGACTCAGGTCTGAAAGTACAGGTTGTCATAGGCACTGGACTCAATTATAAGTGACCAATATAAACTCACTATAAACTCATTATAAACTGACACAGACATATAGACCTCTTCTCTCTATGTGATTTTGTTCACAAAATTGCTCACAGATTTCTCTGTGTGTGTACAAGAATAAATAGTTCTGAACACACCCTACATATAAACAAACATACCCTGTAAATTCATACACACCCAGATATTGGTACAATGACATGTGAGTTCAGCATTCATTTTTTCAGAAAGCTTAGAGACACCAAGAAATTCCTCACTTCAGAGACTGAACAGACAAGAAGGAMAAATACCTAGAGATGTGCATTCCCTCTGTCCAAAGTTCAAGGTTCTCCGCTCGCCTAACATTTTCTGCAGCTAACGAGCTTCTGGCTCTAGCTCAAGAGCCCCTGCCTCAGATCTCATAGCAAACCAGTACCTWAAGTAACAACAAATTAGTTTCCTTCTGGGAGGTAGGCGCCCTTGCCTCCCCTGCCCTTGTGTTTTGTAGCAGGGTGCTCATTTGAAGCTGTTTAAACATTTCTGAAACGTGAAGTGCCACTAAGAGCTTCCACTTCCCAACTGATTGCCCAGACGTGGAGTTATAAAAATCCTTCTTAGACTCTCCTTGTGGGTCATTGAATTTTTTTAAGTATTTCTATGAAGTGAAGTAACATCGAAAAAGCTGGAATGTCATATACCTTGTGGTTAGAGCAGTCTCCTCTGAGTGGTCTTGGTAGAATTTATTTKTAGTGAAAACTGGTGGTCAAAATAATTTATTTTTTTTTGGTTCCACATGTTTACCAGTAATTGTAGTTTCTTCTCAGTTTTCGCAGCATCTTCTCTGCCTCTTCTGTGTCAAGTCCTCCTTGCTGGTCACCATATCATTTCAGGGGATTGGAGGTGCCAGAAAGATAAAACTGAGATCTACTGAACCTGCCTGCTAAATGAGCTGGGCCTAATTATAGCTAGAAACAGTAACTGAAGAGGAAGTCTAACCTGGAATGGGTGAATAAAAGGGAACTACTGTGCCTTTTTTCTAAACTTGGATTAYGTTTTGCAGCCAGAAGTGTTCTGGAAATTTGATGTGATTTTGCAAGTTGTTCTGAGAAAGCCAAAACTTAGTAAATTACTGGCAAATAGAACAGTTGTATTCTTCTTATGGTGCTTTCTCTAATTACAGCATCATACACCACAATATCCCTGCCACATTAGGCACATGAATAGAACAATGATCTCTAAAAAGCCCAGATTCTGTGAGGATATTGTTTATGGTAATTTAACAAGGTTTAAATGTGGCCRGAAATTGCAGTGAAGGAATGAAAGGCTCTTCCCACAAGAGAAACTGAGTTTGGTCCTAGATAATATGACAATCCCTGCTGTAGGGTTTTTGTGCAAGACTTGTACAGTCACAGCCAGCTTTTTTTTTTCCAGAGTGCCAAAGAAGAACATCCATGGCCCTGCTTGCATTAGTTCAAGAGAGTGACATGGACCTGGAATTTAGTGTATTGCTCTTTGAAGAGAGAAAAGTGCTGAGCTCTCTGGAACGATGTCACTGTCCTGGTGTATCCAGCTATAGCTCCAAATTTAGGAGACAGCAAAGAGGTTTTGGCATTGATGTTTAGATGCTTTATGTGATCACCATTAAAATGAGAGTTATACTGTTACTTTCTCTCCTGGGGGATTCTCTAAAATTAAATTTCACAACATTTGCAGAACACTGAGGTTCTATGAGGAGAATACCAAAGACTGGTAGGGTCAGAAGGAAATCCCTATTTTAGGCATTTTAGCTATTTAAATGAGGTGTTACGAGAAAAAAATATTTGAACAAACRAAAAAAGACATTAAATAAAGAGGATAATAAGGAGTATTCCATAATTACTACAAGGAGCATAGAAATACGTCATGTGATGCTATAATTTATTCATGTATCATAAAAATATGTACAAAGAAGACAAAACTGCACAGATAGCATAAATCCTTAATTTTTTTGGCTCATGATTAATTTTGCAGCTTATCTGCTTTATAGGCAGATAATTTGAATTTGCATGTAACAATAAGATTTTTTTTTGAGAGTGAATTCCTACATAGAGGAGGTTAACTTCTTCAAACTCTCTCTTACTGCTGCCCCTCACATGCAATTTCTTCAGCAAGTAGGCTTCTGAGGAGTTCAAAAGAGTGAATTTCCCAGTTCTTGCATCCTGAGAAAGATGGGACTTACTGAAAAGTGTTTTTTCAGTGAGCACTTTCTACTTTCCTTTAAAGTAAGGCCATTTGGTGTGTGTCTAATCAGGAGTGACTGGAATTTCTCCTGGAGCCAGCAGCGACCTGACGCTCAGACAGGAAGTCAAGTGGGTGTCTGGTCCAAACTTAGCTCAGGGGGCAAGGCATCCCAATGCCTGGCCAGTTACCAGCTGCTTTCTGTTGACAGAAACATATGACTGTAATAACATCCCGTATTTTTTCTACTTGACTTTAGTCTCAGTTTATTTCAGTTTGTTGCACAGCTWAAATTCCTTTGTGTGTTGAGGAAATTTAAAAAAAAAAAACTTTCTTCTGATGAAGTGCTTGTTAATATTCATATTATTGCTAAAAAGAGAACTAAAACAGTCCTTTATTGTTAGTAACAAATAAAGGAAAATATTAAAGGGACAAACAGTTTCATGGCCCTCCAGAGACAGACCAACATTGTTATGCAATGTGCAAATAAACTTACATCTTCCAGTACTATCTTATATATCATATATATCAATATCATCCAGAAATAAATTCTTGTGTTGTTCTTAATGTCAGAAAGTTGTCTCTATTGGTTGCTCAGAACCTAAAGCAATAAAAAAATCTTTTTATATGGCTTTGCTAGTAAGAACTTTGTATTTCTGGAACATTTTCCTCAGATGATCTCGAAGTCCTTCATAAATAATTATGTTTCCTGATACCCTGGTAATATAGTTTGTTTTCTTTCTATTTACTTGCTTTAAAGTTTCCTGAGGCAAGTAGGGAGAAATAATTGTGCTCCTAATTAGGCACTCTGAAATTTTCCACTTTGTAAAACSCACAACTGAAGTGCAACCTGTGGGTCCCCATGGTCACTGTGCCCCAGTAGGAGGATTTTTTGCAGGTCCCTGTCAGCAGAGGCAAAATTACACAGGCTCTGCCCTGCGCTCCTGCTTCCAGTACTGATTTATTCCCTGGCATGCTGCAGGAACCTGTTCTGAAGCACATCTGAAAATTATGTGAGGTTGCAGACAAGTAGTTTATCCATCCAGTAGTGATTACATTTGGCACTATTGACAGTCATACCAAAGGCTCTTGGAGGCAAAATAAAGCACTTTTTTTTATCTTTCCAGTTAGGGACATCATTCCTGCAGAATCTCTTGTTATTTAAAAAATCCAGCGTACAATACTGCGCTTGTTCAGGGTATAGTAAACAATAAATAGCTGCAATTCCTGTCCACATATTTTACTTCGTGCTTGTCTCAGTGTTGCCCTTCCCACCATTATCCCTTCTGAATGTTTAACTATATCATGCCTAGAGAAACCTGGAACAGTGAGGCAGGTTTCTTGGTAGTGCAAGAAATGTTCCTCCCTGGAACGCTGCTGTTGCTGAAGGGAGCTTTCTGCTCCATGTTCTCCTTTAATCTGCTGCAGGCATCACGTGTAGCCATGGCTACAGGAGCAGCTCTCCAGAGGGAGACACAGTGGCTTCCCTCACACCAGCGTGTGGAGGGGCACACGGAACTCCCTCCTGAGRAACTTTGACTCAAGGGGCTGAGGGGGCCTTCCATGAGGTGGGCATTTGAAGCCAAACCAGTTCCCTCAGCTTTGTCCCACTTGCCCCTTTTCCAAGTGCCAGTCTGTCTCAGGTCCTGGGAGATCCGGTGCTGTCTATGGCTGATGATGGCTGGTGCTGCATGGTCAGAGGGCAGGAAGCTCCTTRTTCCCCTGCCAAGGAGCCACGGGGGGAAAATGCTCTGGGAGCAAGATAAGGTGTGGAAAGGAAGGAGAGTGCATGGCACAGGACCTCTTGTGACCAGCACCTTCAGTGTGATTGCATTAGTGCAGCACTTCCCAGCTCCAGCAGCATTCCAGAGCCTGTGTGTGCATGTGCTGGCTGTGAGGGCCCGAGMAGCAGGTCTGGGGAAGAGGCGTTTGGTGCTGAGGAGGTGGTGTGTGCATTGCACACATTCCTGTGCTTTTTGTTACTGCTGGCTGCTCCAGTCTCGTTCCCTGAAGAACCTCTGGAGCTKCCCTGCTCTGCCCTGTTCCAAACTGAAACACAGAGCTATACCCRTGTGGACGTGGCCATGCTGACCCTAGGCTACCCGTGTAAGAGTAACCTCAGTGTTACAAAAGCCTTTATTCATGGCCAGGTTCTCCTCTCCTTCCTGTTCCTTCTGTTAGGAAAGAAACAATAGTTCCYCATTTCCCACTGGCAGCCAAGCCTTTGTTTGTAGAGCACTTAGAGAGTTCCAAAAAGCTGCAGACTGTGTGCTGAATATAATTACTATTTCACAGCTAAAAATATTTTTTTARTTTATTAATGGTGTTAATCAATATTAACTTGCTGTTCATTAGGGTATTATTAAAACATTAGAGTGTACAATTAATGGCGTCCATCAGTACTTAAAAATGTGATTATGCCAAGGTGAAAAAATTAGCAGCAAATAGACCTGTGTTCATTTCTTCCAAAACAGAGGTGTCAATGGGCCTGCTTATTATTTGGGGTTATAATTGGCTACAGATACTTTAAAAAAAATATGTATTGAAATTTCAGCCTCATTAATTGATATGTCTTTGCGTAGAAGCTTGTGTGCGTTGGTATGATAGTAACGTTTGTAAAACTGTCAAATATTATTACATATTAAAAAAAMCAAAACAAACATTATCTCACAGGAATTGCTAACTTCAAAGTACACTACATCTTCTTGGTTTCCAGGCCTGTTTTTCCCCTGGTAGTTATGTTAAATAATATATTACTTTTCATTACCAGCTATCCAGTAGGGATTACAAAATACACCACACATGTAAGTTAATGTGGTAGTTGAAAACTTGGCTATTCCCTTTTGCCTGTTACCTCTTAATTCTAATCAAGCAATATTTAATGCTGCATTACAATCTATTTGTGTGGATCTTAACCCTGATCTCTTAAATATTCAGGCTTAATGAGTCAATATTTTATTATTTTATTGATATATAAAATGTACATGGAGAGGTCAGCTGAACAATGCCCTTGTGATTAAAAGTAATGGAGATTACATGTAAGAAGTTATCTGCATAAGTATGAACTTCTGTGTATCTGAATTTATTATCTGAATTCATTCAGTCTAATATTTATTAATCTTTCAGCTATATTCAATTTGTATGTACATRTTGTGTGTGAGAGAGAAATGTGTATGTATACTATAACACTTATACATGTGTGAATGACAACACACATGTAAGTGAATTCATCAGTCAGAATGCTGGTTAACAGGCAGATTTTATTTTATAAGTAGTTTTTAATAACTGTTTTATATATAGTTTTTAATATAATAAATTACTCCTGATARTCCAGTTACCACTGCTTTTATAAGTATGCCACCTTCATCTCTCAAGAATTTAGAGATTCACACCTGTGACTTGCTTTGGCTGATATTCAGTGTCATTGTGGTCTGGTGATGTCATCTGAAAATTGAATGCATTTATTTTTTCCTAAATCTTTATTCACAGCATACAATTGTATGATGRTTTGGTGAGTTCCCAGGTAATCTCTGAATCCTAGCCCAGGCTGTGAATCTAACATACAGAATGTGTGTATGCTGGCCATATGTCAGTGTTTATATATATGCATGTATGTGTGTCAGCAGCTGCTTGCTGTCAGGTTTATCACAAATCCCCAAAATGCAGGTGGCATTCAAAGAAAACTGTTCTATTCCAAAATCTGCTCAGACTTTTGAAGCAGCTAAGGTAACGGGACATCTTTGCAGCAGATCCTAACCTTTGCACATGCAATATAAAAAATAGTGAGTTTAAACTCTTCTGAGTCTATTTAAAATATGGAAATTTTGTCATAATTATGGGGAGACATATCTTGGTCTACTGTTTTGGTTCAGCCAATAAACAGTAACAAAGTAATCTACAGGGAGAGGGTTTAAAAAAAAAAAAAAAAGTTTGTTTTGGAAAAACTGACACGTGTGGTTCCTATGCTCCCTGGAACTCAGGTGCCCCTGAGTAAAGATTGACATTCTTCTCTGTTCTTCACAGTGGAAGAGCAACCATTTCAGGCTGCACTTCAGGGGTTTCAGACACCATAACCACATTTCTGTGGCCTTACTATGGACCAGACATCCCAGAGTTCCAAAATCTGACCTGGCATGCCTCACAAAACTTGGTCTAAACTGACAGGGAAATTCCAGGGATAGGACATCTGGGAATCTTTTCCATGTCCACAGCATATGCAAGAGATTATTCTGTGCCATTTTGTCTGACCTGGTCTCGTCTTGGGCCAGTCATGCCCAGTCAGCTGGAGGCCAAGGCTCCTTTGCAGTTCTGTGAGARTCTTGCCAGCTTTGGAGATGCTACTCTCTAATGCCATGCTGAGTCCCACTTCAGGCTTTTGTTATCTCTCAACTTCRGTGGCACTGCCCCCGTTGTCATCATGAATGGGTTTGGCCCAGTACCTGAGAGGTTGGTGCTCATTACATGGCATAATTCTGATAACATTGCAGCTGTATATTTCCTGAAAGGAGGCGGTTGTTAATGTGTGATAGTGCCCTCAGAGTACTCTGAGAAACTACAAAATTGTTATTCAAGCATTCAGGTTTCCCTGTCACCAGTGTCTCTGTATCRTTTCATGCATGAAATAACACATTAAGATGTTATTAGTGGATATGACAATCTATCCTACTTCCCTCCAGGGACTAGATAATGGCTTATGGATATATTAAAACTTTTGATTTTGGCATCTATTATAACATGATGGATGTGTGGCATGAAACAATGTGGGTTTGATGTTGTGGATAAAATGAGAAATAAATCCACATAGCATGTGTCTGTTTGGAGAGTGCATCTCCGTTCTGGCCGTGTTCTTTGTTCTCTGGACCCTGGTGGGTTCAGGTATAAGAATGCATGAAAATACAGCTTGGGGTACTTTTTTTTTAATAATTGTAGAGTTGCTTAAAATTCTGCAGGTAAGGGGACAGATGGGAATGCACTAATTCTGAGACTCCCATCAGGCAACAACAATCTTGTAGACAAACTATGACATGTCCATGATGGCATACAAATTACTGGATAAAYGCATTATTTGGTACTGGTGCTGCATCCCAATGCTTCTATCATTATGAAAAGCTAATGTACCATTTTTAAAGAAGAAAATTAGATCCAAGTTCTGTTGGTTTGATGTCATGAAGAGTCCTGACAAATTCCTCTTTTTCCTTCATTCTGCTCCATGCATTTTTAGACATTTGTCATTTTGAGCATCCTGTTACACAAGGTTGGCATATGTTGAATTTCTGTGTTCACTGAAATACTGTGTAACAGGAAGCAAGTAAGGAACTAGCAAGTAAAAATCTTCATACCTGCCTTCCAGGTGGATTATGATGATAAGCCTGACTCCTTGTTCTTCAAAGATGGGCAGCGAAGAATTGATTTTGTTTTGGTGTATGAAGATGAAAGTAAAAAAATGACTCATAAGAGGAGTGATCGCAAAAAGCAAAAGGTAAGTTATTGCTCATATATTGGGTGTTAGAGCTGTGGGCAGAAAGTACAATGCTCTCACCCAGAACAGGAATTGCTTTTTCTTATCCTCAGAGTACTCTTGGGAGCTGGGAGACTGAAGCCCATCAAACTGAGCAGGGCACAGGGCTCGAGCCAGTAAATGCTGTGTCAGTGGCAGAGCCCACCATGTCTGCCAGTGTGTCTGGGGACCTCAGAGCATCTTCCTTGCCTGCCTTTCAGAAGATATGAGCAGGAAAGTGCCAGTGTCAGGTTAAATTGGACACCAAGATCTTCACACTGGGGCAATTTTCTGTACCTACAGAAAATTCAGTTTGGCCCCTACTGGACTTTGGTAATAAAATCAGAGCATTCAAAGGAACCCAAAGGAGGCAACTGACCTAGTGCTTCAGATCAGTTATGAACACAGCTGCTGACATTCTGCTGACTTCCGATGACATAGCTAGGTTGTTTGTGGAAAATAATTGTACATCTGCCACCAAAATTTCTCTCTGTGCAATTCTTTCCCTTGGCACCTCARCAGCTTCGCCCTTGCTAGGGACCTTGCAAAAAATTTCTGACTCAAGCCAGAGACTTCTTGATGCTCCTTAGCATCCATAGCTCCTTAGCAATGAACCACTATAATAAATTATTTTACCCATTATTTTTTAATCTTTTAATCAGTTCTATCAGAGGACTACATTCAGCATGGCACACAGGGTCACAGAAACAAGCTCAGCCATACCAGTGAACTGTTTGAGAAATAAGCATCCATGAGATTGTAGTTCCTTTGGCATCTGCACTCCCCCACCCAYCCACATCCTTCTCTGATTTAGCAACAATCTGTGCCCCAGCAGCAGCCTCTGGTAGAGACAGGCAGGAACAAAGATATCACTGAAAGCAGCTCATACACAAATAATAATTTGCAGTTAGGAAATAGAAGAGTAGRATCAAAAAAGCCTGTAGCTAAGTGGGTTGATACTCATTACACAGTGTTGTTGCTGGCATTAACAGGACAGCCATAAGGAATGTCGTTAGCAGGGTTTGAGGGAGTCCTGCCGTGGGTGGATGTTGTATTACACATGATCACAGGATCAGCAATAAAAATTAAATGAAAGAGGCAATTAGACAAAAAAGCTGCCCCTTTGGAAAGAATTGTTGTTATCAATTAGCATTTTACATTTATGTTTGTAATACTTGGCCATTGCCCAAATATATTAAAAATATAATGAGCATCTCTTCTAAGAAGTGATGGAAATTAAATATAAGCAATGGAGCAGTATTTTCAGCGCAGCATTAATGTTAAGACATTAGCCAGAATGAAACCATTAATAATTAGACCAGGAGGCTGTGGGTAGGTGCTTGCAAAAAACCCTTCTTTTCAAAGGTCTTCGTCCCACAAAGATCTGCAGCCACCCTGACTCTGGTGTGTGCTAAGAGGAAGCAACCTACCTACACAAACAAATGTGAGGACAAGAGCATATCAGACAGATGATCAGATAAGGGGAAGATGAGCAGCTGGGGAGCAGTTCTGTGGAAGAGGCCCTGATGGTTGCTCTCCATGGAGAGCAAGCTGAACAAGAGCCAGTTGTGCAGTCTCATAGCAAGGGACCAACAAAGTCTGTGTGGACAGAAGTACAGCCAGAAGAGTGACACATGTGACTAGGTCGATGTGGGTGCATCAGAAGGAAGCCCAAAACAGTGTTCCCACGGTTATGTAGAAGCTGAAGCAACAGGGAGACTGACTATACATGTATACCTTATATCTGAGATTGAAAGTACGGTGACATTTGTGGTGCAGCTTTACATCCTTAGAATTGCAGGGAAGAAGGTAACATTGTGGCCTACCACAGTTCCCAAATGGTGTGGGGTTGGTGCTGCCCAAGATACACTGAGGTTTCATCAATGCTGGCATAAAACCTACTTGATAGCTTGTCTTTACTGACACTGTTGTTTATTTGGTTGTGGTTTTTTTCTGAGTAGCATTACTTCTACCCTTATGATGAAATGCTACCAAAATAAGAAGTGTGGCCATTTACAATCACTTTTAAATACTGTATACATGACCATCTGATCAATGATGAACTGAAAATGCCAAATTTTTTAAGTAGTAGCTTGCGTAATTCAAGGTGCTTTAAGCATGAATAGGTTCCTTGCCCATGCTACTCTTTCTTTGACTTTCCTGACAGTTTTATAGAGCTATTATCCAGAGCTTTATTGTGCACAGAATTTGTAATAAATAACTAAAAAATAGGAGATGCAGGGAAGTCTGTTCTCATAGGGTGACATCCTCATGTCACTGGGGCCAGGAGTAAGTTTTCCACTGCTTGTGTGCAATCTCTCTCTGTAATCTAGAGATTTGTCCCTGGGATAAATTCTGTCAGACGTTACACACAACACCCCACCCAACTGCATGACATGTAAGTTGCTTCACAATTCAAATTTTTAGTGAACATCTGCAGATTTCTGAAGTGAAATGTTTTGTGTGCTGCAGTGGAGTGTTTTGTATGATGCTGAATGTGGAAAAATCCCCAGATACTTACTGAATTTGAAGGATTTGAAAACCAGACCACAATCTAGGTATCCAATTTACCAGATGCAGAGAAACAGTGCACAGATCCACCTGTTCTTCTGCAGCAAGAAAAGAACCAGATCCTGGGATTATCATTATATTGGATTTGAATGGCTTTCCATCCTTTTTCCAAAGAATTGAATGAATGTAACTGAATGGTCCGGAATTAATTTATATTAATAAGCAGCATTCTTACTCAAAGCATGTTTTTTGAACCTACAATTTATGTCTCTTATTTGTCAGGGTGGCTTACCATCAGAATAGAATTTAAATATCAGCAGTCTTTTCAGGAATGCTCCCCAAGTGCCAGTTTTATCTGTTGGGGTCCTCAAGGAGCTCACTGTTGAAAGTCAAAGGATCAGGGCCAGAAAGGTAAATTCAAAATAAATCAATGCAGAATGTCATTTTAGTCCACCTGTTCCCCCCCCCCCCCAAGAGAAAGAAGCAGAAAGACTGTCAGAAATTTAAGTGAGAATGTGGGCATAACCTTAATTTCCAGCCATGAAGAAATCTGTGCTTCTCAGAAACAGACAGATTTCTCTTTTTTTCAAATGGAAGGAAAACTATCATTCATGGAGAATATGGCACACATCTTGTTGGGGTTTTTAAAGTATAGTGTTACTGAGAACTTCAGCAGGGCTGAAGAATTTTGTCTCCATAAGCAAACAATGAACAGTTCCTGCCTCTGTGTTTGTCTACTTCAGAAAACCAACAACAACAAAGAAACCACAAGAAAAAAAAAAAAAATGAGAACTGAAAATTAGCTTGGGTAACTTTTCAAACATGAATTGTGCTTATCCAACTGCTTAGCATGTGTCATACCTGCTGTGAGAGAACAACCCGTGGTTTTTGAAGGGTACCTCTGTTCCATTTTATGTAGTGATTTGTGGCAGTAGAGAATGACAGGCTCTGCATGCCTGTGGCGTGCTCAGCTGACCTACTCAGGAAGTCTGATAACAAGTATGAAAAGGACCTTTGGCACCAGGAGGAGGGCAGCCACACCTGCCTTCACCTCTGCTGGATGGAGTGGTTTGTAAGCAGAAACTCACTGAAATAAAACCTCTGTTCCTGAGGCAACCACAAATCCAGGTTTTACTTCTTTGGAAGGAAGGAAGGAGGGATGGATGGATGAAAGAAGGATAAAAAGACAGGTAGAAAGAAGGAGATATTCTGCAATTACTACATACATTCATAGGGCCAGAAATGGGTTTTTCCAAACAGGATGACTAAAAGCCATTGTTGAGGGCAGGGCTAGACTGCATTATTGCCAGTTCTGTGTGGTCACAGATCAGGTTTCAGAAAACCATGAAGTTGGTATCTTAGAAAATATGTACTTGGAGTTCTTTGGGTTTGCTTTTTGGGGGGCTTACTTTTATAGCATGTTCTGCTTCACATTTTTATGATTATCTTCAAACACAAGGGAAAGAAGCTTACAGAGCAGAGCTTCTCAATCAATTATTTTCTGATGGTGACAGGTGGGACTTTGAGGAAAGCTTCCAAATACCATCAAAGAAACTGTGAGGCAGCTAATATTGATACAATAATCCTCTTCTCTCCCTTCAGCTGATTTCAATAGGGGAGGCTTTGGGCYCCCCATGCTCTTTCTCTTACTGACTGTGACATATCTGTGATATGTCAGATAAGGCGGAAGAGGCTATTCAAGCTCTCTTTCCTCATAAGGATTTTTCCCCTGAAGCCACACAGATACTGTTGTAGGGAACTTTTCTCTTTGCACAAGAGAAACTTAGCAAAGATATGAGTTGGCATTCTTCTGTCACTGTAACCAAAGCAATTCCTCCCTACCATTTAGAAAACACAGGGGAAAACTTGCTACTGGTCTGCTACCGATTTCCAGACCCACAATTTTCTTAGTTTCCTCAGCTTGGCAAGACAATCACCAGGCATTGAAAGCACCATGGTGAAAAAGCAGCTCCCAAAACCTGACTCTTCCACATGCCTGTAACACTCGGCATTTAACTTGCATCGYGTTTTCATTTTCTGAAGAATATATATGATTATGCATCCTGTGGTGTCTTAGTCGATTCAATCATCGAAATCTATGTGAGGTTTAGATCAGCAGCATTACCATGATTAGTTTATTATTGCAATTTAGCCTTGCAGGTAGCTGAGCAAAATGCCAGATACTAAAATAAACTTCAGATGGTCTCCACCTTCCAGCCTAATAAACTGTTATATCTATACACTGTATTCCCTAGTCGATGCAAAACCACTGTAGACTCCTCTGGGTACAAGTCTAGCTCCTCCATAGATCATTATACACATAATTCAATCATTTATATAAAATAGCAAGCCCCTAATTAGCAAAGCCTCCCAGAGGCTTTGTTTCTCACTACTTGCACTCATGCATTATTAGAAACCTTAATATTGTCAACATTCCTCTAAGATTTTGAAGGCAAAATTAATTTTGGGAACTCCTTGCCATTAAATTATTAAAGGAATCTGATAAAAAGAKTTAAAAAAATAGACTTCTACAAATGAGCATTGCCCTGCATCTATCTTTCTGCTGTTTAGAAAGAAAATGAAACAGGTATTTAGCCCCCTGCCTGTTTTATTTGCTGAAACAAAACAGAAGTCAGGTTGAAATATTTTCATGATCGGCTATKATTCACTTTAGAAAGAACCATGTGAATTAGGGAGAAGCAAAGGGGTGGGAAGAAATGGCAGAASAGTTACTATAGAGTAACAAACTCCTGTATGTTGTGTGCTACATATATTAACGAATATTAAGAGGTAAGAGGGCTGAGTTTTGATAAAACAAAAATTCCAGAGGAAATCATTATGTAGTTTACTTAGAAGCCAAGACACTGTGAACCTTTAGCTTYGAAGGAAAATGGAGAGTGCTATTACCTATGAAATGTTGAAAATGCAAGGGAATACRTTACTGCAAGGAAAGCACTCATTCATATTTGGGATTCTAGGTTAGAGCTGTCAGCCCAAGAGACATAATGAGATAATTGATGYCATTATAAATATATAAAATGTTACACACACAATGAAAAAATATAAAGAGCATTGTACTGTCACCAATAGCCAAGTGAATTAATGAGGCATGGAGAGGGCTATCAAAGTTTGGGATTGTGGTTTCATCCTGAGAAAAGCAAGGAYTAAGGAGAAATGTGATAAGTATTGATGAGAGAAATAAACAGATTGAAATATTTGGCTCTTCCTGTGCCTAGCTCAAGTAGAATGTGATAGTCACTGGAATAAAGAGGCAGACAGCCCAAAAGAGATAAGAACAATGTCTTTTAAGAAAATATTACATTAATCCATTATGATCATTGCCACATGCAACTGCTGCAGCTGAGAACTAACAAACTATAAATTTGGGTAGGCTGTTCATAGTGTTATTCAGTTCTATTAATTTCAAGACTTACTCTCTACAAAGAGACTTTCAACTCTTACTTAAGAGTTTTGGAAAGATAGCTTTTTCTTGTTTGACAACTTACAACCATCTTTAAGTATTCAAGAACTGGATGTAACTTATTTGGGTATACAAGTGATCTGTTCCTGCGGAACTTCTGAAGATTTTTACCCTTTTTACTGAAACATCTGCTTTTTGCCCGTAGAGTGGGTGAGCCTTGAGTCTAACCCCAAAGACCACTTTCTGCACAGTTATCAAAATTCTTAAGACTTTCTGTAGAGGGTCATTCATTGATTCTGATCCTTCACAGTAACAACAGGTCTGGATCCTGTGCACGGATCTTAAGGCAACTTGTCTGACTGTAGAGAACTACGTGACAAAAACCCCTGTGTCATTCTTCTTTTAAGTTTCTGTAGTGGGAGATGCTGAATCYTTTAAGCACATATAATCAACAAAGAAATTGGCCAGTGGCATGAAAGCAATCTGGGAGTAAGAAAGTAATACCCCCAAGTCACTTGGAGAACACCTCACTGCAGCCCAGCCTAAGCTGGTACAAAAAATTACCTGGAATAAAGCTCTGTGTCCCCAGTACATTAAAGTCATCTTCTTCAGCAAACTGCTCACAGAAGAGCCCCAGCCCCAGCTGCCTACAAGTGTCCCCCATTCCCTGGGCTGATACACTGGTGTGCAGTCTGCTGGCCAGGGAGAGCTGGCAACCCTTGACTCACATAAATAGATCATTGAGGAACTATCCAGCTGGTGCAGATAGCTTTTACATTTGATTGCTTCACATGAAGTTTCAAAACTGCTTGTAAATCCCTTATGGAATTACATGTTTTGTATTTGAGGGRAAAGGGGATGTTTCTTGGGAGGAGATCGTGTGTGGAGAAGCAGAATCAAGACTGGAAAGACATTTCAGGTTTTTTGTAACTCACTACCTGCCAAGTGCTGGGAGCTATGAAATGGAATTTAAATGATCCACAAATTTGATCTTTACTGAGGAAAATTTGTGTCCTTCTGAGGGCGTTAAATGCTCCTGGAATACCACCACTGACTCTACCAGTGCTACAACTCTCATCTTTTTCCTTTGGGGATGTAATCCATGGACTAAAATATAGAGGGATACTACAGTTTGAACTCATATGATTACTGTGAAAGAAGGATAAAGTTACATGTCACTGGAAGGAAAATGGGATGGAAAGCACTTGAGAAGAAAACTTTCTAAGGGAAGATTAATGTAGTTCTATTAGTGACTAAATGTGAAAGAAATCACAATTTCAGGGATGGATTTCAAAACATTCAAAATCTGAGTCACACTTTTACCTCTGTAATGTACCAGAAATTAAGAGGATAAGTTCTCCACAATTGCATTTATGGCCAATAATGCATATCAGACAAAAAAACTGATCAGGATTAATTAGCAAGTAGGACTGTATGTATCACCACAGTAGCTGCTAAGTGGGCTATAGAGATAACATAATGATTGTTTTGGGAGGCAATTCCATTCTTCTATGCGTACATATTTGTGAAATTTGTAACAGATGTTTTACAGTGTTCAATATCTTTTAACAGAGGAAGAGACAAGTATATGAATCAAACCTGATAAACAATGGCTTGCAACTAGAAGCGACGAGGTCGGTGAGTGCTATTCTCTGTGTGAATGGCTGTTCTGAGAGCACRGCTGTCCCCCCCGGGATTAAGGAAACTGGATATATGAATTGACTGTAAGATTTCTCTCCCCTCAGGAAAAAAAGGCCCACTTTTCTTCTGTTGTGAAGAAGTGATCTTCTTTGTGATCTGACGCAAACTTTTTTAAAACTTTATGTCTGTTCCTTCCTTTGCAAAATAAAAGATGGGAAGATGGAAGATTACATCGTGAAGCTAGGAGATTACATAGGTCATGTTTGCTCAGAGCTTGGGAGATAAAAATTCCTGTTTGTACCCTGCAGAGTGGTACTTCCCCTACTCTGGCTGTGCAGTATGGGTGGGAAGCCAGAGTGTGTCYGGTGCAAAATGCTCCTGCCAGAAGAGCAGTGCAGGACTCTTGCACATGACCCTGCTTCTCACAAAGCCTAGCACTGTGCAAGTGGTTCTAACTATCATGCTTTGTATATTTTGGACTGCGATGTCGCCTGCAGGCAGTTCAAGGGCACTGTGGCAATGCACACCAGCTGCCAGAGCTGCTGTWTCTTGCTGGGGGTTAGAGCTCCTCCAAATCCCTTTTCTTTCTTCCTACCCTGCAGGGCTGCAGCATTCCATCTGTGTCTCCCTCTCCAGAAAAATCACTTCCAGTCTATATTTGTTGTTGTTTGGTAGTCTATAGTGAGTTCCAGAAATGGTTGCTTTGTCCCTTCCTCCCAAATTAGATTCAGAATCCTTGGCATCACAGCATTCATTTGCTTTCTACAGTGAGGGCTCCTGTTGCATGTCCAAGAATGCAGTCTGGCTCTTCCTAAGAGAGTAAAGTCTTGCTGAAAGGCCRTTGCAGACCTGCTGCTATACTATTGCAGTTTTGAAAAGTTCTGCCATAATTGTGACTGAAAAACATTTGAAACTGGAGTTTCCCTCACTAGATCAGATATCTGAGCAGCGTTCCTGAGCCAATGAGCTGCRTAAGGGGAATTCATGTGGCTGAGACTCACTAATGCAGAGCAGCAGCAGATCTACTGGTCATGCCTGGACAGGAGCCAAGAGTGGCTGTCAGGATTCTCATGGCTTACTGGTGCTGGGTGTTCCACTGGGAGCAAATGTGCCCCATGCTGTCTTTTTTGGCAGTCTCATCTAGTTTCCCTTTCCCTCTCTCCATTCTCTCTAGGAGGGTTGGAATTCTTGTTGCCTTGGAGCACCCATGGGTGCCTATCCTGCTCCCACTGAGTCACATCATCCTGGAGCTGTAACTGAGCTGCTGGGGAGGCACTGGCAGCTCCAGAGCCATGCCTGTCCTGTCAAGCTACAAGTACAAAGACTCCTAATGACTGCATAGGGCAAAAGTGTTTTATTTAAATTGCTTTGTAAAATACTTTGTGGAGATGCAAACATTAAGCATTGAAGGAACATTTAACTGTCTTTTTTAAATATACCTTTATMTGCCTTCATCTGCCTGAGTTTTTCCTCATGTCATCACTTTTACAGAAGCCAATCATATATTTGCTGGGATGGACAATGAATTCAACACTGAGTCGGTCATCTATGAGCTGTAAAGACAAAGAAAATTCTAGATAGTTCAGGAACTGTTAYGATGAAAAGTTCTTTACTTACATACATTTTTTTCAATATTCTTTCATCTCAGGTTTTGGATGAGAGACTTATTTTCGTGAAAGTTCATGCACCTTGGGAAGTGCTGTGCATGTACGCCGAGGTTATGCACATCAAATTGCCTCTGCAACACAATGACTTGAAAACCCGAGACTCAGCTTTCAACTGGTTCAGCAGACTCTTCAGGGTGGATGAAAATATCATCAAACCTGAGCAAGAGTTCTTCACTGCCCCTTTTCAAAAGGAACATTTGTCCAACTTTTATATCCAAGATAAAGACACATTTTTCAATCCTGCGACTAGAAGCCGAATTGTAAGTCCATAGAGTATTTCTAACAGTTACTCTTAAAAAGAAATTATTCCATTTATCAAATCAGCATAATTACCTTCACTAAAACATCCTGAAAAATTAAAAATGTTTGGGATGCAATAGTCCTGTGCAATTTATGAAATATCCTGGGCAATCCAGACTTTCCTTTACATGTCTCCTATTTCTCTTCCACCTATATTTAAAGGGGGGATTTGAGTGGTTTGTACACCCTATGCAACTAATTTTGTCTGCACTGCTTGCTCTTTCCTAACTTCATTGTATGCTGATACAGGTATAGCTGTATATGATTATTTTCAGTTTGCAAGAGACACAAAAATATTTTTTACATTTCAGGTTCATTTTATTTTGTCCCGTGTGGAATATGCAACAAAAAACAATGTGAAAAAGTTTGGAATTAACAAATTACTGGACACTGGAATCTATAAAGCAGCATTTCCCCTTCATGATGTAAGTTTGGTGCTTGTAACTAAAACATAGTTTGAAATAGAGGTCTGAACTATATCTAGGGGGGTTTATATCAAACAGTACAAACACTATTTATTACCTTATTCCTGGATGGTATTATATCCACACAGAAGAATAGGACATGGTTTGGCTAAAGAGATTTTCTTCCAAAGCACTGTTGGTTAAAAATGCATTTATCTAAATGAAAAACAATATATTTAACTTGGGAGTTCTTAAACTTGCATTCTCCGGGAGTTGTATTTCAGTACACTGCCTGGGCTGAGAGATAGTTCCCATGACTCACTGCATTATCAGTTCTAAATCAATTTTTCATTAGTATTCAATTTTCCAATATTAAAATTCCTGTCAACGTTGCTGATAAAGTTCTGTGAAAGTCTTGCACAGTGAGAAGAGCTCCCTCAATTCCCAAACATTGCAACATACATGCATGAGACTCAGGTTTCTACATGAAGGCTCTGCCCAGCCAGTCCAATGCCTCAGAGGTGATGTCAGAGTTTTGCAGAGAAAAACTTCACTGGTTTGAATTTTACCTTGCAATAATAAGAAATTCAGCTTTTGTAACTACAMTTCTGAAGCTTTTTTAATTATAGCCTTTTAAGAAGAAAGTTATACTAAATATTGTTTTGCATACCAAAGCTAGCAATAGCACAAAAAATAAGAAAATTAAGGGGAATAAAATCAGATTTCAGAATATTTGACAAAGAAAAATCTCCATGTGAGGCTGTGAATGCAATACGGTGAGGAAAGATTGAGGGCTGATTTTCTGTGTTCTATCTATTGCATAACCACAACCCCAAAACTCGTCCACCTCAGAGCCACCATTCTGTGTCCAAGGTGTGTTCTGTCAAGGAAGACATTGAGAACATGTGAGATTCAGGAAGGATAACTGCTTCAGCTCCATGGACTTGGCTTAAGATATTTAGGGAGCCTCCAAGGTTTTCAAATAAATTTTTAAGGCAGAATCAAGACAAACCATGTTTCTTGTAAGTAAACAAAGCTTTACAGAATAAAATTCATATAATTTGCGACTAGCCATTTTTAAGCCTTCATTTAAAGGTTTAAAACCTGCCTTGCAGGCTATTTCTGTCATGCCATGGGGAATTTGGACTCAGTATGACTAATGATTAATGACTGTCTTTTTGTACAATTGAAATTATACATCACGGCTGAAAATCAAAAGTAGCAGGTAGATTCCTACAAACACCACTTGTCTTGTTGTTTCACAGATATAGAATGGAAAATTGTCTCAAATAAAATAGGTTTTATTGAAATAGCTTTTTTAATAGCCTACTAAGAAATACAAGGATTATCTCTATGTGAACTCTCTTTTAAATTTGAAACAGAGACTAGAGGCCCTGAATTTTTCCCTCAAACTTTACAGCCTGTATTATAGTACAGTATTATTTTGAAGCAAAGCATGTGTAGCATGTTAAAGCTACTTAAAATCCATTTTAATTCAGTCCTGTTCTCTGATTGGAATGGATCCTTTTTTATTCCCTATTCCTTAGTGCCAAGACGCTGACATGTGCTTAGATTTAAGTTCATGATGAGCCTCTGTTATTTTCAGCTCACATATGTACAGCTTTAGCATTCAGTGCCTTTTTGACAACCTTCTATCCTGCATCCTGGTGTGCTCTGAGAGCTGCCTTCCTGCTCCTTTTCCTGGCTTGCAGCAAGACTACTGCAAGTCTAAAAGCTGCTCCAGACTGTGCTTCATGGCATGGGGATGGTCTGCAGAGATGGGAGATGAGCTGCGCTGGTTGTTAGTGGGATCTTCTCACGCTCTTTCTGTTTTGCAGTCRAGTTTTAGGCACCTGTCAACCGATCCCAACTGCCCAAGTGAACGGTATCTTCTCTACAGAGAATGGGCTCATCCTAAAAACATTTTCAAACTGCAGCCCCTGGATTTCATCAGGTTGGTGTGACTGGTGCTGGACTAATGCAGGGAGAATGAGAAATCTACATGATAGGTATGTTTTTGGAGATGTCAGAGATACACAGCTCAGTTCTGAGGGAAGATACCTGCACCCAGATCAGCTCAGGCACAGAAGCATACTTTGAGATTGCTTTCATGATAAACCAATTTATGAAAAGGCAACCACTTACAATTTTTCTTTGCCAGCATGATATTTTCTCTTTTTTCTTTTTTTCCCCCATTTTTATCCTTTTACAAAAGCATGCAATACCACTGCAATCCCAAAGTTTTAACCAGAGGAATATTACAGTATGGATTGGTATAAAATATATTAAATGAAGAGCCATTTGAAACAGAAATGCAGATTTACTTGCATTTCAGAAAAAAAAAAATTACGAGCCACCAAACCTTTCTCCTCCACAGGAAATACTATGGAGAGAAAATTGGCATCTACTTTGCTTGGCTGGGCTTTTACACCAATATGCTGACTGTGGCTGCGGTTGTAGGAGTTGGCTGTTTTCTGTATGGATGCCTGACAAAGGACAACTGCACATGGAGGTACCTGATCAGGCCTGGTTTAGTATCACGTGTGATTTTGATCAGTCCTGTGCAAAGGGGGATTGTTCAGGGTTTGTAAGACACTGCTTGATGAAGGAGGCAAGATTAAAGGGCCTGAGCACTGCCACTGTGAATTTGTAGGCAAAAGCATAAAATAGGAAATAAGAAAAACAGCAGATATCCATTGACCATTACAGTAAAAGACATCTGAGAGTCTGCTTATTTCATAATTTTATTTATATTTTGCACAAGGTTCACCATACCTAGTGTAGAAACACAAAGAAAAGAGTGACAATCAGAAATCAATACAAATCGCCATAGGACATAATTTTCACTGTAGTAGATATCAAGATACCCAAAGACCTTGATAATTCCTTTCCTCTAATCTGTGAGAATATAGGAACAGTAACAGCACAGGGACCGTCAGCTGTGTAGGGTATATTGGAAGGCAAGGCATAGCCATGACACAGATTCTCTCATCAGAACACAACAAAATTCAATCGTGGCAAAATGACCCAGGGAAAAAATATGATGGCATTGTGTCAAATGACCAACAGGCCATCCATTTGTATCCCACCTCCTGGAAGGGTGTTTATAATCCATGCTGGTGAGCCATTCTACAGCTCCTCTGCCCAATTTGTACCCATTTAGCTTTTTGCCAGTATTCTAATTTAGTTAAACAGCTCATCTCCCTCCATGGTGTTTACCCCACTCCACATAAGAAAGTAATTAAATTTCCTTTCAGCCTCCACCATGCTGGGTTACTCTGTATGAGATGGCAACTCCCTTTGCCATCACTTAGAAGCCAGACCTGACATCAATTGAAAATTGTGGCAGCTCCCCTCTGCCCAATTTCTGACCTAATCCTGTTTAGAAGGCCAYAGGGACTAGGCAGCCCTTTGGGCTCTGCAGCTATTCCTTGTTCTTCTAGACAGCGTTCCTCTTCCTTCTGCCTTTGGACTTGCTGCGACAGCATGTGTGAGCATGCTGCTGTGGGTTTCCTATTGAAGACTATGAGATCTTTTAAGAGCTCTCTTATTTTTAGTGTGGGCAGTTTGGAGAATTACCTCCATGTGCAAGCATTGGAAATTGTTTTCCTCATGTATTATCTATTTTTGAGATGAGCTCTATGAATGGAAATGGGGTTGGGTTGCCAGGGTGAGGGGTGGGGGTGGAATCCTTGAGAGCAGATCACTGGTAAATTATTCCTTAATTCCCAGAGATTATTGCACTGTCTTTATGTGTGAAAAGGCACTAAAGAATTAGTGTTGGTGAGTGACTGACTAGTTTTATTTTCAGCCAAGAAGTATGTGACCCCAACATAGGAGGTCGTATCATAATGTGTCCTCAGTGTGATAAAGTATGTACCTACTGGAACCTCTCCATCACTTGTGAATCATCCAAGGTAACCTCATTTACAGCTTGCAGCCACACTTTTGAACTTTACTTGCACTTTCTCTAGTGCATGGCTATAAAACAATGCTGGTCCTCCATTAATATCCTGCACAACTGCTAGAAATGTGCAAATGATAATTCCTTTTGATACAGTGACTTTGAAAAGTAAAAGCAAACAACATTAATTGCTCCAATTTGATCTGAGATTAAAATTATTTCTTTTTATTTCACATAGTTGCCAGTATTTTATATGAATATATATGAAATAAAACATTGATATAATATATTTGAAATAAAACATTATTTTAATTGAAAATTGGTTTCATATGAGGGTACTTCTTCGTTTTGAGTGAAGGAAAGATTCAGTTAAAGGCTTGATTTAGTAGCTCTAAATCAATTTTGCTAAGGAAACATTTAAAGCTTGTTTTGACATTTCTAATTGCTGCCTCCTCCCTGTGCAAAGAATTTATCTGGATCTATGCCTTGAATTTGATCCGTGTTGCTAAGGAGAAGATGGGTACAAGGAGAGGCTGGTGTTGGCTATGACAGAAGATGTGACACAGCCATGCCCTGCTGTCTGCTCTTTATTCCTGTCAAAAGGAACCTCACTTTCTTTCCCCATTAGCGTGTCTCACTAAGCTAATGTTAGCCTGTTATTCCTCTCCATAGATTCAGTCCCAAAACTGTGATTTTTCAGCTATTCATTGAAAATATTTTGCCCAGCTTCAATGTGTTGCATCAGCACACTTAAAGGGTAAAAGAAATAAGAATGCAGGGAAAAGGCTATGATGGGAAAAAAAGGGTAAATTATGACCACAGAGGTATCTCATCAGAATGTGGTTTTACTAACTAACTTATTTGTTATCCTGCTTATGAGAACCAGATGTGTCTGTGGCCTTTTAGTGGCTGTACTAAATCTCCATAATTCTATACTGAGTTTCCAGACCAGAAGCAATGTTTTTCCTCTTCCTATGCAACAGATGGAAGGAAGTTTGATAGCATACCATTTTATTATTCCTTGTACTGCATATATGGCTTTTATTTTTCATTCTGAACTTTGCATTTAATTTCCTTGATTTCCTGGAGGGTGGTGTACATGAACATAAATTGAGGAAACACCGTCCACAAAGGCTTTTTAAGAAACTATATCAAAACTGAAAATCAACATTTTCAGTAAGCAGCTTCTATTCTGGGTCAGTGTAGAAGAATAAAAATGGTCAATTATATTTTAAGCCTTTTTTTTCCTCTCTTTTCCACTTTTCCAGAAACTCTGTATATTTGATAGTTTTGGAACATTGGTGTTTGCATAAATGCAGTTTGTATTTATGGGAATATGGGGTAAGTCAATTTCAACAAGTGTGGTTTGTTATTTAATTTTGGCCAAGCCTCCAGCATCAGCCTAGAAAACACAGATAAATTTGCACTGACTTCATTTTCTAGCACTTAGGAATTCACTGGTAACTAGTTCATAAAGAACAAGCACATTCATAGGAACTCATCATAAGAAAACAAAAATTGTAGACTTAAAAGTTGTTCTTCAGTATATGTTCCGTTTCGTTTGACTTGAAGAAAAGTCTGAGGCAAGTGGTTAAGGCTGCCACATGTTCATCCAGCAGGAGCCAGCCACATGCTTAAGTGTATCTGTCAGAGGAGCTGGGGTTTTTTCCCAAAGAGTTTTGGAGATGCTGCACAACATAATTGAAAAATAATGATTTGTTATAGTTCCCAGGATTTTTTTCCTCCTGTCTTTATTTAAGAAGCTGATTGTAAAAAGTGTAGTAGTTACAAGAGACAGATTTATCTTATAGCAGAGAAAATGTGTATGAAACCAGGATGTTTCCCACAGGTGAAAACGCTTGGTGCTGTATTCAAGGGATTAAGCAAGGTTAATTTTCCTAGTAACAGTTTATTTTATTCGTATTAGCAGCTTTATTAACTGACTTTTATTGCACTGTCTTATCCAGTAATTACAAAAATAAGTTCAATGTTCAGTCTGTATACACGKTGCTATAGAGAATGTGTCTCATGTAATATTTTGAATTCATATATATGCTGACAAGAATGCAAAATTTGCTTTCTTTGTAAAACACATTGCATTTTTATTTCCCTATGATGACCTTAAGTGCTTCAAAATAGTTCTTGCTTTAAAGAAACGTAAGATGAAATATATAATTTCAAAAAGAAGTTTTCTTTCAAAACATGTGCTGAAGTCAAAATACCAGCAGGGAATTCACTAAATAAAAAGCTATCAGAAGTTTGATACTAATGTAATCATCTCCTGTCATCTCAACAGTTAATTTATTGGTTATTTGGTTTTTAATTAAAATTGTCCTTCCTGTTTTGAAGAATAATTCCAAGAGCAATAATTGCAAAGTTAAGCTTCATCATTAAGTGATGGCTGCAAGGCCTATTATCATTCCTGTTGTAAGTCCACTATATAAAGAGGTGAATTATGTTACAGAAATTCAGCCAAAATTGTACTGAATACAAATGACCCATGGTCCTGGTATAATTCCAGCTGTAATTTTCATCTTGCTCTATTACTTTTTTAGACCTCCGGGTCCAAAACAATTAAAATAATATTAGACTTTTAGATACATTATTGCATCATTATTATCCATACGTTTCTAATAATTGCACATCTTTCTGTGTGTATTCCCTTCAAAAATCATAAAGCACTATGAAACACCTGGGAATTTGGCCTCAGGAGTTTGCCTTTTTTACACATTAGTGTGCTGTCAATTCTCTTGTTGATGGTAAGACAAGATTGGCAAAGGTGACGAGCAAGAGGCAGCTTCCACCTCACTTGCTGCCATCCATGGACCCCCTCCCTGAGCAAGATCAGTTAAAATAAGAAATGTTCTCCGGTGGGAGCACTTCTTTTCAGATCTTGGTGACACAGAGGCAGAATACCTGGGCCAGCCTGAGTGGTAGTGTTGGGGGACACATGAGAGGAGACACCTTCCATCTTCATTCATCATGGGGTGAAATTAGTGCTCTGATCTCCTGATTCCGAAATGTCATTTGTTTCCACTGTTGCAACAATCCTGCTTCAAAACAAAAGGAAAATGGCAAATCCAGCAGGAGCTGGTTTCCTGCTCTCAAAGACACAGCTTGGCTGGCGGGGGGCTGGATGAGCTGTGCCTGTGTTATGTGCCTTTCTATCACAGTTAGAACATGAAGCTATCATCTCAGAAGAAGTCCCTGCACTTCTGGTCTCTCCAGCAGCAGCTGAATTTGCAGCTGGAACAATCAGTGTAGCCTGTAGCTTCCTGTGATTTGGGCTGGGCAGCAATTAGAGGTTTATGGAAGACTAATGTCCTTGCCCTGCARAACAGAGCAGATGAGACCCTCTGGTTCACTGCTTGCAATGGCCTGGCTGCTTCTAAGGATGAAGTAGTGGAGAAGTCCTTGTAAAAGAGGCCCATGAATATTCTGGCTTTTTCTGGGGTTTTGCCTGTGTGCAGATGCCAAGGTCATCTCACAGCCCAGCCCATGGAGTTTCCTAGGTTTAAATGTTTCAGTTTGGGATTTTTCAACCACACCTGATTTTAGACATAACCTTTAATGGCTGGACTTGCAACTGCATGCCACTGAGGTTTCATCACTCAGAATAAGGGGCCAAACTAGCAAAATAAACCCCAATTTTAGGGCTAATTACTCCCAGACAATGCAAGCAATGAGAGAGCAGTGATTGGGTTTTACTATTCCTGGAACCAGTGCTGCAGAGCTGCACCACTCATTTAATCTGAGACTGCACTGTGTTTGAGAATGAAGCATCCAGGTGTGCCAGGGAGCATGGTACTGACACCCAACATCCTGAGCTCCTCCCAGCTTTCCCATCTRGGTTTGTCTTTGCCTCTGCTGCCAGATCTGCCTGCATTAATGTCATGGGACATGGTAATGCATTTGTCTGGCTTCATGTTTAACCATTTCCAGTTAGGCATCTGTGTACCTGATCCCTCAGTGCTTCCAGCTATAGGACCACAGTCCACGGAAACAGCTGGCCCAGCCCAGGGAGTTTCTAAGCTCCATGCCAAACAAAAGAGCTGCAGTCTCTTCGGGTTTGTGCTAGCAGAGGAGGAAAACCAGCTGTATTTAAGCAGTTTTACCTGAACCATCATTGTTATTGTAGTCTGCAAAATGATAACTTGTCTACACAAAGCAAATACATCGATAAAGTATATACTTTTCTTTGGCATGTGGTTMCACCACCATTTATCTCAGGTTTCCCATATATTGCAGTACATATGTATCCAAAGGCATAATGGCATAAAGGAGTAGATCCAGGTGTTTTCACCATTGCATTAGCTAATAAAGGTTTTATTCCATGTCTGAAAAAGCTGTATAGAATACTGAGCCATGTGTAATAGCCCAGAGGGGTCAAGGAGTATCCAGTACTCACATGGTATTGCTCATTCTGTCTGTCCATTGGATAGTTACCTTTTTTTTGGAGTTTTGGAAGCGACGGCAGGCTGAGCTGGAGTATGAATGGGACACAGTCGAGTACTTGGAGCAAGAAGAGCAAGTTCGCCCAGAATATGAAGCTCGGTGCACTCACGTAGTAAAGAATGAAATCACACAGGTAAGGAATGTTTTGATAACTGCTGTTGGTTACTGCTATGGACATGCTGTGAGCAAACACTATGAAAATGATGAATCTGACCTGGAGCTTTATAAATCAGCAGTTCCTCAAGTTGATAAACTGGCCTTTAATTAGTGAATTTATAAAGTACAAATGCAGGGAGACAGAACTTATGCCTAATTTGTGAGCACTTTAAAGTAGCTGCCTGTTTTAGGACTTTGCACTGCTGAGGTTCCTGTGTCATAAATAAAGAGAAGTAGTCATCATCCCCAGCTTAGAAGAGTGAGTCTGCTTTATTAAATCCCCAAAAAAAACTATTAAATATTGCTGCCAGGGGCCAGGATCATAGTGCATTGCTATCTTTGCCTAGGAATGCATCAGGAAAAAAAGGTGAATGGAAGGAAACCTGTCACATGATTATATATTATACCAAGAATGTTTTTTTTAACTAAAGATGTTTCTATTTGAAACATGTAAAAATAGCTATTGTTGCTAAGTGCATATGGATGCAATTATGATTAATAACAAACTTGCAGAGATTGGGATAAACCTAGTTTCAATGAAATAGGGTTCATATTTATGAGGATCTTACTTTAGATCTCTATTTATTGAACATTTGAGTAGCTTTATCAGCTTACTCAAGTTCAGTTTCACTTTTTATTATTCTCTGTCAATATATTACTCTGTCTTTTATCTGATCATTTGCAGTACTTTCACATTCTATCCACGTTTTACTAATGTTTATTAGAGGACACTTTTCTTCAAAATTAGCTGCCATAGTTGAAACTATCCTATATAGATCTTCTTTTTATATCTTGTACTATCAAAAAACTTATCCTGTTTTAAAACTTAAAAACCTATGCCACCTTGAACATAAAAAGTCCTAGCTAGAAAGTTCTTTTCAAAGAGTTCAAAGAGTAAAGGATATGCTGAAATATTTTATTTTAAGCCTCAGASATTCTTTAAACAGACTCAGTGAATTTTCACTGCGCCACATTGAGGTAGGCATTTTTCTTGGGGAAGCCATTCCATTGTTGCTATAGAATACACTGAAAAATACAGAGATCAAGCATCGAAATTTTAGTGCTGGCTAAATTTAGCCATTGAAATTTGAAAGATAATGACCTTGGATGCCATGATCAGCCAAGAAGGATGGGTCTATTCAAAAGGACTGTGCACCCTCTCATAGCTGAAGTCAGTAAAACCTGAGGACACTGTGACTTTATGGAAGTCATTTTTATCTTAAAAGGGGCAGCAAAAAAAAAGACACCTGTAATCAGGCAAGGCTTCTGAAATCATTAATAAATGTTGAGTTTCCAGGAAACAAAACAAGGTACTTCCCTCCTTTTTTTTCTGCCCTCAATATCATAAAGGGTTTAATCGGACTACACCAAAAAAAAAAAAAAAAGAAAAAAAAAAAAAACCAAAACAAAATTTAAGTTTAAAAAAAAATGAAATTATTTAATGAAAAGTCTTAACTGTTAAAACCCCTTGCAATTCAATTAAGCAAAAAAAAAAAAAAAAGGAAAGATTGGGTGCATCCTTGATCTGTTTCTTAATCTTTTACAGCAAGAAGAACATGTGCCATACACTGCGTGTGGGAAGTGTGTACGGATGACTTTCTGTACAAGTGCCATCTTCTTCTGGGTAAAGTTCTTCTCTTATTCTTTCCCCCCATCAATTCACTTTGCTAGTAAGTGTCTAAAGAATGATCCTCCCGAACTGAACAAAAAGTTACAATGGAACAGGTTCAGTTGGATTTCCATCTGATGCATAAATCGAGCCATAAGATACAGAGCCACATGGAGAAGGTAGCTGCAGTCACCCAATACTCATTAGTATACAGTATCAAAATATGCTGCAGCTGTAACTTGTGAGTTATGCTTGGGAATGTGGTCCATTGGTTTTTCCCTCATTATTTTAAGACAAATGTCTTTGCTTTTAGCGRGACGGAAGGGAAAGACTTTGGTTTATGTGCTTTCCTCCCTGCTAGTTTCCGTCTGATTTGTTCCAGTTGTGTTCTTCCATATTGTGTCTCACAGTCCATGACCTCTTTCAGGTTTTGTGTTTCACTTAACAGAGCAAAGCTGGATGCTCTTTAATCTCCTAGAGCTGCTACTTTAATTAAAACTAAACCTTGAAAGCAGTCCAGTCAACCATGACACAATATATAACACAATGAGCAGGCCCAGAGAGATTGCCGTGAGAAGCTCTGTGTTTTAGCATACTGCGTGTCCTCATCTGCAGCACAAATAGCAGATGGACGAGCCCTCATTCTACGTGATAGGATACAGAGAGGAGATAGAGTGGTGTCTGGCAACCCAGGAGAGCCTCAGCATTTGAAACACAGAGGAAAGAACACWGACTTGCAGCTGGATTTAAATAGAACAGACTTCATGCTGGAGGGAAGAGATTTGTTCTGGGTTTGTCACTTGTGTTACTGGCTGTTACTGGGCACACGGCAGGGGAGGTAGTTCATAGCAGTTTGCTGAGATGATAGTGAAAAAAGATACACAGCTCTATGGACCTCAAACTGGGTAGGCTGGTAGAGAACTAGCAAGAAAAAAAACCAGGAAGAGAAGAAGAAAGAGGAGATAGCAAGCAAGATGTGGTACATGGATCATTATTGTAACTCCTGCAGACTACATGACCTGACTCAAAATTTTTCTTTTCCTTTGAGGGGTCTGTAGTCTGTAATAGTATCATGTGGAAGATAAGGTGCATCCCCTCCATAATCAATGCAGACTTCTATTACCTTTGCCATCCTGCCAACTGCCCATATCAAAAAAAGTTTTCTCCCATCACGTGCCTCGAGGTGCAACATTTGATTACACATCTCATTATATTGGCTCACATCTTTATAAAGCTTGTTATTAGTCATAAAACAGACATCTCTTTTCTGTCCTGCAGTTTTACTATGCTACATGAAAAAGGGCTTCTTTTATGGATTCTCTGTTTATTGCCTGATATCTTACTTTATCATCCTCTTACAAYGGAATGGCAGGCACAAAATTGCTTTCCTTTTGCCTATTGTAAAAAGTGTTTTGATTCACTTTTTCTTAAAGCCAGTGGTTGAACACGAACATCTTTCTTGCATTCCCTTGGCAGATCCTTTTGATTATTGCTTCAGTTGTTGGAATCATTGTCTACAGGCTCTCTGTTTTCCTGGTGTTCTCTGCGAAGTTGTCACAGCACATCAGTGGAACGGAAACGCTCCGCAAGTACCTGACTCCACAGACGGCCACGTCAGTGACCGCCTCCCTCATCAGCCTTGTTGTCATTATGATTCTCAACGTCATCTATGAAAAAGTGGCCATCATGATCACTGACTTTGGTATGCTGCTACTGTACCTCAGATAGAAATGTGGGATAAAATAGCTAGAAAAAATAGCATTTGTATGTATAGTATTACGATAAATGAGCATCTGTACTACATATTTCAGAATTTTCCCACCAAGTGACACAAGGCCACATAGAAATTTTCCAATGTAGGTTTTCTCAGATTCAGAGGGATATTCAGCTCTTTGCCTGAAAAGTCCTTACGTAGGCAGCATGAAAGATCAATTGTTTACAGTTTTTGCTTGTGATACAGGCAAAGCAAAGAAAATTACTACAACAACCCCAATTTTTATGAAAAACAGATCAGTAAGGCATAACACATTCAATTACATTAGCTTTTGTTTATGGAGGAAATAGCTATTTTCTTGTAAATAAGTGAACTAAGGTCACCATTCCAAAGCTACATRGCACTCTGATGCTGTTAAACAGATAAACAGTCACAAATAATGTTATTCTCTATATCCAGGCCATCAACACTCAAGTAGCTATTTTACTTTAGATGCATGAAGTAGTGTGATGTTTTCATTTAATATTGTTTCATCAGTTCGAAGTGTTACATTTGCATCTTTCTTGAGTGTGCTGGATTTGGGTGCTTTTTTTTTCCCCTGAGTTATCAGAGTTTTTGCAACTTCTCTTTCTTTATTGTCAGCGAACACGTTCTTTCCTTTTTACAGCCCATACAGTTTTAGAATTATATAATGCTTGCAGTACACGTGGGGATTATGTACAATCCAAATGATAATGTTCTCAGCCATATTAGGGAATATGAGGTATACAGCTACTTTTCAGCTGAGGCTCTAGAGCAGCTTGTAGGTTACTTGTAGATTGGGTTGGGGGGGTTTTAATTTGGTTTTCTTTTTTTTTTTCATTGCAGAACTTCCAAGGACACAGACCGATTATGAAAACAGTCTGACCACAAAGATGTTTTTATTCCAGTTTGTCAACTACTATTCTTCATGCTTCTACATAGCCTTCTTTAAGGGTAGATTTGTAGGTCACCCTGGAAAYCCAGTTTATTGGCTGGGAAAGTATCGCAATGAAGAGGTAAGAATTTATAATGTATAATGTATGATTAGTCCAGGTMTTCTGCTGGAGTTGAAGTGTATAAAGTAAAACACAGTTGTACATATTTACCATTAGGGTTTAAAAAGTGGCTGCCTCCCAAGCTAATTGCCTCCTCACTAAACCCTATCATAAAAGAATATGGCACAAGACCAGTTGGGCTTAGAAATACGCTTACCCAGAAAAGTGTATTTTACCCATGGTCCTACAATCTGTGAATTGGCACGCAGGAAGGAGAAAATATCAGTAGAAGCATTCCTGTTCTGCTGGGTGACCCTGACCTGGTGATAGTGCAGAGCTGCATGACTTCACCTAGTATTTCACTCTGTTCTGTCAACCTTTCAAATGTGACCAKATGTGGCCTGGAACTGGCTTTTGCATAGCTTACTGAAAGGCTTGCCTAGGCAGTTTCCTTGGATTGCTTTAAACAATGTTATTATAATAAACCAGGAATGATTATTTTAAATGCTTCATTCATGCCTGAAAAGTTACCCAACTTCAAAAACTTTCCCTGTCCCTCCCAACCTTCAGTGTGATCCAGGGGGCTGTCTCCTCGAGCTCACAACCCAGCTTGCCATCATAGTAGGAGGTAAAGCTATCTGGAACAACATCCAAGAAGTGCTTCTTCCGTAAGTTYAAACTATGAAGTAATCTGCTCTTTCATATTTGAAAAATACTGTTGTGCTTGATGCCTTCAGGCACTTGGTCACTGAGTTTGGTAAGGGCATATTGTATTCTGAAAGAATGAGACTTCTCCTTTGGGGCTTTTTAGACAGTTGGKATGTTTTGCTCTGGTAGTCTGGGCTCCTGTCTCKGTTGTTTTAAATAATTTTAATTSTAATCAGAAATTCTTCCTTCCTCTGCAAGTCAAACTTGATGTGTTTCAGGTTGAATATTTAAAACTGAGGTAATAGAAGCTCTGAGAATATTTAACTGAAGAGTTGCTTAATATTGATTTGAATGATTTRTTGTTATAAATTGAGCTTTTAAAATTCATTAACTCATTAAGTTTTACAGTCATATGTGACATTCTTAATGCCTATATGTTCTTGTATAGGGTGTCTTGGGTTGGATCTTTGGAAAGTCATGTTTTGATGCAAACAAAAAGCACAGTGCTAACCATAAATGCTCCCTGTTTAATTTAGGCTGAGATATTATCAAGAACTCTGTTTCTTCTCCTGTGACTTGTTCTTTATTTCACATTAATCAGCGGCTGTTATACTGCTTGTAGTATGGAACTCCCAGTTTGCTCATGCACTCCTGAATGCCATAAGTACCAGCCCATAAGCACAGCCTTTGGCTGTGGTTCTTCCAAGCCCACAAATTGTGCTCCTCAGCCGCACAGTGATCCCAGTCCCAAAGAGTGTCATAAATACCATTTGGAGTTGAGGCTAGAATGCTCTGTTTATGATACAGCTGCTCCAGATCCCAGTGGTCCATATGGGCTGATAGTCATGGAGTAGATCTGTAGACCCATCCTTCTGCTCAACATCTACTGTTACCTGGGAAAGGGTCCCATGCCTGCAGATGTCAGCTACAGCCACAAACACAACTGACTTCCCCATCTGAAAACAGGAAATATATCATCTGATTAGAATTATTAATTCACTTCCCAGTGAATTAAAAGGATCTCTTCTGAATCTAGTTCTTAACTGCTTTCTTATTCTGCATATCTGCAAGTATAAAGAGAACCATTCGGGCTTTTTTTCTGCTGGGAAGCACTTGCTCCCACACCCTTTTTTTTAAAATATGGTTTGTATGTTTGTAAATAACCATTTTTAGGGAAAGACAACAAAAGGAAGGAAGGAAATTTTCAGTAATTCAGAATTAAATAAATTGATTGTTTAAAGCTGTAACAGCAGAAATATTTTTAATTTTTTTTCATTGATGGAACTTTTTAGGTTCTTTTATCAATGTTAGTGTTCTTTTTCTTCCTGTCTGATAGTTTGGTCAAAAATCTAATTGGAAGACGGTCTGCAGCTGCCAGATCAGAAAAAGTTGTTCCACGTTGGGAACATGACTACCACCTCCAACCCATTGGAAAACTTGGACTGTTTTATGAGTATCTTGAAATGGGTAAGTGACAGCTCAGTTTGGATTCACTACCTCTGCTGGATACAGACATTCTCTAAAGAAAATGTTCATATCAGCAATGCTMAATAAGGTAGACAGAGGAGACATTAATGTTTTTTGAGACAAGTTTTGATGAGCTATTACAGATGGTTTTACAAGCTTTTATTAAGCAGCTAAGCTTTAATCCAGTTTATCACTAGGAAACAGCATGTGACTGTACAAGGAGGAGTACTGCTGCTTCCTTGCCTGATCCTGTGAGAAATGCATTCAGAAGGCAGACCATTGCAATGTTCCAGTGTTGTACAGCAGAGCCCTGTGTTAGACTGCTCTGCTAGAGGTCTGCARTCACCAGGACTTGTTGCTGTAGCTTGGGAGCTGGCAGACCATGGTTTGTTGCCACTATCCATTCTGTGACGGCACTGCCAGCGACCTTACAGTGGTACCCAGACACCAATAAGATGATTGTTGATTTRGGCCTTCCAGTTCAGTACAGAGACAGATAGTCACAAGATTTCCAGGTCTTCATGATAAAGACATCAGAAAGAAATGGACATTTAAATATCCAAAATAGTTCCTCATGGTGTGTTGTGACTTGTAATATTTTCCTGTCCCCTTCACCTAGCAGGTTTTTCCAGTACTGTTGTGCTACTATTTTCTYATCCAGAAGATTCACTAGGAACCCAGGTCCTCTTTCTTGTTTCTCCCATCTGAATTTGGAATACATAAACTACACATGCCTACACTTGCTTATCTGCAGTAAGTGAAAGCCTCATCGATGCTGTAACCTCTCCCTTTCCCAGTTATACAGTTTGGCTTTGTGACACTGTTTGTGGCCTCGTTCCCCCTGGCTCCTCTTCTGGCTCTTATTAACAACATGTTGGAAATCCGTCTGGATGCGTGGAAGYTGACAACGCAATTCAGGCGCATGGTTCCACAGAAAGCACAAGACATCGGCGCCTGGCAGCCCATCCTGCAGGGCATAGCCATCCTTGCTGTGGCCACCAATGTAAGTACAGAGCCACTGACTGCAAGGGGTAAAATGCCTTCACTGCARGTGCTGCATCCAAATGTGGGAACGCTGCATGTGGCAATGCAACTTAAATGATCCTTAAAGCACCTCTTCTTCTTTAAGGCACCTCTTCTTAAAGCAGAAATTCAGCTTCTTTCCTGTGTGCTTAAAAATACCATGTGTGCTCAAAATTGCAGATCAGAATGAATTTTCTGAGAATTTGGACACTAATCTGTTCTTCAGTTGGAGTCAAAATAAGTGCACAACAGAGAAGTTGAATTTTAAGAGAGTTTGTTTAAAATATTTTGAAAAAAAAACTGATAAATATACCCGTAACAACAAAATTCAGACCTTACATATTTTTTGTATCAATTCACCAAAATTTTATTTGTAGGCTGCATTGTGGGAAGAAAAATAAGCCATTGGTATTTATCACTGTGGGTTATTTGTTTATTCATAAACAATAGCAAGTATGTATTAACTTGCAAAACATTCTCACTGCTGGCCTTTATTAAAGGAGCAATGACCACCGGTTTCTTGTGCAGGGACAATAACACCATAGACTATCCATGGCAAATAGCCTTTTTCAACAGGTCTGTTATCAGAGAGATTCAAATATGTTATGCTATAGGATAACTGTTTTTTCCTAGTCAATCCAACTGGATCTTGTAACACCAACATGAAATTGGAGGTTGAACATATATATTAAGATTACTTTAAAATATCATRCCTTACCACAGATCTTACAGCATTCAGGTTAGTATTAAAGTGACCTTGCACTGACTCAGASGTGTGTAGGCTTCTGTTAGGAGTGTGTTTGTGCCCTGCTTTGTGCAGTTAATGCCACTGTGCCAACACAGCATCAGCCGCTCACCTCCGTGGGGCTGTTGGCACGCCAGGGGCTCAGACCAGAGACTGTCACATTCAAACAGCTCTGCTGCTGGCATTGTGAGGACCTCAAAGARATTGGTGTTTGTTGCTAATGAAGTGTAGCCCACAAAGCCATGTGCTAGACCAAATGCTAGAAGCAGTTTCCTTCCTTTCTTTTTTCTGACCCGAGTCATCAGTCTTTCCTTTACCAACCCTCCCTTGATTTTACTTCAATACACAGAAAGTGCTTCTTCTCTCCTACACAACTTGTTACAGTTGATTACTCTTAGGCAGTGTATCCTCTCCTTAATGCATTTTTTACCTCTGTAATAGCTGCTTGTGACTTGCAAGCARCTTTTGCACAAAGCTACCAGTTTTGAAAGTTGCCATGAGGCAGTGGACTTGCTATTGCRTGGTACCAAAGCATCTGTTGCTGATTTGAAGACTGATTTTAATTAGTTATGGTATAAATGGAAAACTGTGTGCAGTAAGGATTGGGAAGCAAAGAATGTGATGTTTGTTTGTAGTTCTCCAGTGCAATACTCTGAAATGCAGCCCATAATTCAAGAGGAAAAAAGWTTTTCCTTTGAGAGGATGCCGTTGGATTAGTTTTCGTATTTCTGTCCTTGAAGCTCTCTGGAGCACATCTGGAGATAATTCAGAGRGAGGGAGGAGAGTGAGACAGGGTTTAGATTTAGGATGATGAGAGACCTGGGGCCTTTCAAAAAAATTCAGTAAGATCAAGTATTAAGCTGTGTAAATACCATATGCCAGCATCTTTCTAAATGATACAGAGAAGCAGCATCAAACTTGTTTGGTCCAAAGGGAGAAGGAATTTTTTTGCCATATTGTTAAGTTGACATTAATTCATTTATAGTCTGACTAGATGAGCTAATGGACATAAARAAAATTTATTTAACAAAAATTTTCTCTGCTTGTAATTCAGACTACAAATACTTTACTTGTACTCTACTTTTAACTCTACTTCAGAGTTAAAAACAGAGTAATTTAGCTGTGAGGTCGTCTCCCTGCATCTGCAAGACACAGTAATATATACTTCTTGTCAGTCAAAAACACCTACTCAGCATGTAAATATAAACAACACATAATTTTCACTTCATTTCACACTGGCATGTAATGCTTTAAAACAGTATTTAAAAGTGCATGCCAACTTCATTTGATTTAAGCCAAAGTGCAGTACAAGAAAAACACCTTATCCTTGAAAATTTTCAATGTGTTTATTTTAGTCCCAGAATGCCTCCCTTTTATTTCTCATCAGCCAAACTTTCTCTCAGCTGAACTCACTCATAACAATGTTCTGGAGAACTGAGCACAGATCTTGGACCACAGTCTCWAAAGGATTGTTTCTGCAACTTTTATCTTAACTACAGTTTAGTTTCTCAGGTTCATCAAAGTAAGCCAACTTAAAAGGTGAGATACTGGGATAGCATTCATCTCTGGCAGTGGTCCTACTTGAGGTAGGGTGGGTCTTGCCCCTTTTCAACTCCCTGCTCTTTCTCTTTGCTGTCTTTTCCCTTCAGTGCTGGCTCTTGCATTGTGCTGGCACCAGCACTTGATAAAYGCTTTTATGATGAATCAGACCGGGGAAAGGATCCAGTGGTGATTCCCAGTCAGATCAGCATGGTCATCTGATCTGCTGCATGGGGCCAGGAATGCCCAGACCAGCKCAGAGCACAAGTCAACTTCTAGAGGCAGAGGCAGGAGGTTGTTTTAGCTAGCACTGCCACCAAAGTGTTGTTCAAGGAATTGTAGAAGAGTTTTCCACTTTTTTTTTTCACCCACTCTCCCCTTTTTCTACAACTGTTACAAATATCTTCTCAGTCTGGGACTGTCTGGCTGGGAATGCTGCACAAAAATGTACAATTTTTATGCCATGTCATGAAAATGAGGAAAACCAGACTTCATGAATTGCACACTGGCATGATGGGAAATAAAATACAGATAGTAACCAGCTTTTATGCTCCTCTGTTACCTGTTCCTCTTGACTTTGCTCCTAACTCTGTCCCACGATTTTCCTGTGGTTTCTTCTGCCTCTTTTATACATCTCTGCCTAAACACCCCTCCCTCTGATCCCATCAGATCCCTACTTCACACCTTTCTCCTCCATGTCTGTGCCCTGGTTCTTTCCATCCATGTTGTCAAGTGGGTATTTTTACCTTGGCATGACCTGGAGTGCAGCTTGTCGCTCCTTGCCAGGTGSTGGGCACCAGAGATGCCTGTTATCAAGAGCTGGCTGGGCAGCTTCTTGCTAGGTACTCAGCTGCACGTCTTGCCAGTGGAAAGTCTCCCTCATAAGGAAACCTTTTGAACTTGCAGTAGCAGAGGAGGAAATTGGATTAAACATAGTGAACCTGTCCTCCAAAAAAGGCTGTTTTTGGGAAGTTCATGAGTTTAGAAAAGACTTCCCACAACAAACCCACAGATCAAATTTCCTACCCAGTGAGTAGCAGACTGAGTAGGACAGGAACTCTCTTGGGAGCAAGATAAAAACAAATGGTCACGTCATGTTAAACAGCACTATGCAGCTGCTACTAAAAAAAAAWTATCTTGGCATCAAGAGCAGTTTCCACATCTACGCTGTAGTAGGAGGCAACAAGTACCAAGATGAATTTGGGCTGGCTAGCACCTCAGAAAGGGTGGGATGTTTCCAGGATCAGAGATGGATCAGTTATATATCTAATTTATTTAATTCCTTTACTCAAACATCAGGGAACCTGGTGAAATTTAATTTTCTATTATTGAAGAACTCTTCTGTTGTTTCCATTAATTTCATCAGGCAGAATTTCTTTAAGTATCTCATAAGTACTCGTAAGAAGCACATTTGCTGATACCCTCTGCATGCACATGAAWAAAGTGGTTTATAGTATCACTGTTTCAAGGCATCCAGCAGAGCTAGTGTAATTTTGAAACTCTGTACAGAGTGCACATGCCAGAAAGAAATTGTTTCATATCTATAAGAGACTACATGCTCATTTACAGAATGAACAACCACAAAGGGGAAAAGCACATATTTTCTATTTTTAGCTCATACTCTAATTTTTGAGATGATAAGTATGTGGCAAAGGACTGCATGTTAAGGCTTATTTGTTTAATGCTGCTCTGTTGTTTTGTTTTTTTTTTTGTCTCTCTGAAATGCAGGCTATGATCATTGCTTTCACATCTGACATGATTCCTCGTTTGGTTTATTACTGGTCCTTTTCGGTCCCTCCTTATGGGAGTCACAGCAGTCACACTATGAAAGGCTACATAAACAGCACCCTTTCTGTCTTCAATATATCAGACTTCAAGAATGCCAGCAAGCCATTTTCCCCTTTGCTCGGGAGCCAAACGACATGCAGGCAAGTCTCAAATAAGCATTTGTCATTTTCCAAGGACAAAAGTAATGGGTTTCATATCTAAATTACCTAATTCAGTTTAAAATACCCAATAAGAAATATTAAAACACAGGGAAAGCCAGCCTGTTTTGAATGCCAGAATGGAGTGGAAGTACTCGCTGATAAGTTTGTGCTACTCAGATAATTCTTACTTTAATTTGGTTTTCTCCTAGCTGATAGTTTTGGTTGTTTTTTTTTTTTTTAAAAAAAAAAAAAAAAAAAAAAGCACCTTAAAATTTTTATAAGTAGCTCCTAAGAAAGTGGCAAAAATAGGACATTTCGGCCAAATACAGCTTGTTTTGCAGATATGATTTTAGCCACCACAGTAGTTCCCAAGCTAACTGTTCCTGGACGAATTAAGCAGGGCMATGTCGTGCTCCATCCTCTGGCCACAGTGCCGAACTGCAGAGATGCCGGAGATCAGCTCCTGACTTTGCTGCTTTGCTTTCAGATACCGGGACCTCCGCTACCCTCCTGGTCACCAGCAGCAATACGAGCACAACATATACTACTGGCATGTCATTGCAGCTAAGCTGGCTTTCATCATTGTCATGGAGGTCAGTGTACGGGGTTTGAACCATTGCTTATTCAGTCTCTTYCCTTCATGCAGAAAATCCTTCAGAGACATCCAGTCCATCCCAATGTCAGAGCTGATGATGTGTACTAGCATGAACAGGAACTTGGGAGATGTAAATTAAGTGTAGCACCATTAGAAAAAGAATTCCCTAAAATCATGACATCAGCTGAGGATTGCCTCACATATCTTCAGCTTCTTTTCTCAAGAACTGTAGAATTATTTTTAGTAGCAGAAATAGAAGGGATAATTACACTGAAAATATTTTTACCTGTACTTAGAGGAACTTGCGTGCACAGCATCCTGAATGCATGTGCATAATACATTTACATAATATATGAGCACTGGCAGAGTGAGGTCTATAAAGACAGCCACTGTAAGAGGTGAGTCTCTMGATGCCCATCAAAAAGCTCCTTCCTCTGCAGCTACAACCTGGGCTTATGAAAGATGGGAGTCAGTCCTAGATGAAGAGAGAGAAATATTGGATATTATTTAATTATAAAAGTACTAAGGGCTGATCCATGGACTACCGAAGTCATCAGAACCATGAAAATGGTAACAGMGGAGTTCCTGTAGCAGAGAAAAGTGATTGTGCCAGAGTCATTTGAACTAACCTCAAAAATCTTACAGGAAACTGTAGCTAGTATTTCCATGCAGGAGGGAAGCACTGGGTAGCASGGTTTCCCCAAAGCAGGCAGAGAAGTCCTTGCTCAAATTGGGATTGGAAAGTCAGAAATTCTTGTTATCAGATAATTATTCTATTTTATTAGTCAATGTCTTCCTAAAATACTGTTCTACACTGATAGGTACCAGTACTGAATCAACTCAGAGTATTAAGACATGAAGTGACATTTAATTTATAATCATAATAATGTCCTGTTCAGCCTGACTAATGTTTTTTCATTTTCACCTTTCCCAGCATGTCATATACTTTGTGAAGTTTATTATTTCATATGCAATTCCGGATGTATCACAAAAGACCAAGAGCAAGGTCAAACGAGAAAAGTACCTCACACAGAAACTCTTACATGAGAATAATCTCAAAGGTGTGAAAAAAAACATGGGTGAGGTAGCTGCCAAAATTATCAAGGGAGCAGAAAGCACTTTCCGAGCTAAAGTTGAATAAGGACTTTTTCACGTGGAAGAACAGTACTTAGCCAATCAAGCACTTTGGATTAATTTCCTTTACTAAACATTGTTTCTTGCAAATCTTAGATACTCATTTACCAGTTTTCCTTGGACAAATGCAACCACTGCAACTCAGATAAAAGTTACTATTTTTTTAAACAGCTTTTCAGGACATTAAAAAAAAAAAAATAAGATGAAAAGTATTTATCCTCTTAAGAAGATGCAGATTAATTCCCAAACACCTAGGCTGCTTTCTACATTTTTTGGGCATCGACTGTTAGATAACTTGTTTGACATGAATAAAATCTTAAGAACAAGAATGATTTGCGGTCATAATATAATCACATCTAATGAAGARGTTTTGATTGCTTGCTAATGCAAACCCCAGCTACAAAATGAAGAGGAAAGGCCAAAATATGAAGGAAAAAGAAAGAAAATACAACTCAAAATCACGTTGTTAAGCCATTGGAATTGGCAGACACGGTTGTTTGCTACTCTGAATTATCTATGCATACTGAGACTTAAACGGAAAACAAGATATTTCAATTAATCATGGACTTGGATCACAAGAAGCAACAGGACTGTAAGCCCACCCTGTTCATCAATCTCTGAGTAAACAGGAGACTTGCCTTTGAAATCAATGAATACAAACTGACCTTACAGTACTCCAAGTGAGCAGAAAACTCAGGCATTTTATCTTTCCCCAGTCAATGTACTTTCATCTGTTCACTCACCCATTCTGAGCTAAATGCTCATAGCCTTGAAGGTCTCCTACCTGTAAAAGCAGTAAGTGTTAAAATTCTTTTCACTTTCTAAATCAATATTTGTGGAGGGTTGCCTTTTGCATTTCTCTCACATCRGAGCATGATCTTCCCTGAGGTTTTGACATAGGATGAATGTGCAGCTGGACATTTCGACACAGTATTGTGTGATAAAGTGAACTCTGACAAGATTATGAATCTATTGAAACTGGGGTTTTGAATCAACCATTTAATAGGCCTTAACCATGCTATGAAGCTTTAAATAACAAGAAAGGATGTCAGAGGCATGTGCTACAGCCATCAGTCATCTTCAAACCAGGCTGCAGATCTGCTTGCTTATTTTGGCTACAGCTGGAAACAGGAAATTAGGGAATTACAGATTGAACATGTGTATGGAGAGCTACTTTGTGCCTGAATGATATTCCAGATTATTAACTTGCTTTCTCTTTTAACAGTTTTAATGGACAATTTTATATAGATCATGAAAACCAAAACCTTTTTTCAAAAAAGCAAAAGTATGCCTGTACTCTACGAACCAGGTGATTACTTTATGTTTGTAATTTTGTACTCTCCTTAAATGCAATAGATATGCAGATTTTTTAGGCAGATAATTCATATAGCTTTTTATGTATCAAGTCCATTTAYAGAAACTAAATAGCATTTAGAAGACAGATTTTATCCAGTCAGTAATCARAAAGAATTAAACATTTGAATTTTTACAGCAAAACTTCCAAATATTGTCTGTTGTGTAACTCAAGCCTGTCTTTTTAAGCAAACCCTATGGAACTATAAGATCATTTAGATTGGAAAGGATCTTTAAGATCATCAAGTCCAACACTGCCAAGTCCCCAACTAAACCATGTCCCTGAGTGCCACATCTACATGTCCTTTAAATACCACTCTGGRCCCAGCCGTCCAGCCAGTGTTTTACCCTGCAAACAGTGCACTTCTCCAAACCATGAGCAGCTCAGCACCTGTGGATCCCACACAGCCCCAGAGATTTGTGTCTGTCTGAGTGGTGTGGCAGGGCACTGATCATTTCCCCTTGGATTATGAGGGCTTCATTCTGCTCCCTACCCKWCTCCCAGCTCAGGAAGCTGGGTACGCAGAGAACAACGGGCTTTACTATGAAAGAATGAGGTAAACAAGGCATTGAGTACCTCAGCCTTTTCCTCATTCTTTGTTGCTGTGTTTCCCACCACATTCAGTGAAGGATGGAGAGTCTCCTTAGCCCTCCTTTTGTTGCTAATATGTTTAGAGAAACATTGTTATTGCCTTTTACAGCAGTAACTAGATGAAGTTCTAGTTGGGCTTTGACCCTTCCAAATGTTTCCCTGCATAACCTCACATAGTCCTGCAGAGCTGCCTGGCCCGTCTTCCAAAGGTCATCAACTCTCCTTTTTCACCTGAGTTCCAGCCAAAGCTCTCTGCTCAGCCAGGCTGTTCTCTTCTTTTGAATATTTCCAGGAGTGGAGACTCCACAACCTCTCTGGGCAGCCTGTGCCAGCACTCAATCACCCTCGCAGTGAAAAAGTGTTTCAGTTTGTGCCTCTGGTCCTGTCACTGCATAATATACCAAACTTCTAGTTAAAACAAGGTTTTGTCCAAAAAAATGCTTCAAGAAACAATTTCAGTGAAGTACTCAGAATTTCCCTGTGCAAAATGAGTTGGGTTAGAAAGGACAGTCAGCTCCTTTCCTRCTTGGAGCTGTTGATTTTATCTTTCAACAGGACCTTTCTCATTTGCAGTTGTGTCCAGATGAGAGATGCCATTTTCATTCCCTCATCAGTGATCACAGCATCAGTGTGCCTTAAATACCTTTCCAGGTGCATTGTTAGAGGGCTGGGGCAGCTAAGGAGGCATCCTGTGATAAAGAGAGAAAAATGCAGCACAAAATGGACCATTTCRGGTAATTATTTGGTCTTCAAGAGGTAAAGAGACTAGGAAACAAAGGAATTGTCATACTGAGTAAGTGATGGCAGAGTTTAAGGCTGTTTTTCAGGAGTGCTTGGTCTTTTACTCCTTGTYTGATACCAGTAGACTCTCCAAGCTTTGTGTTTCTTCCTACATCAGTTGGCACAATTCCCTAAAAGGGGAGCTAGCCCTCAGTTTGTATTATTTTATATAAAGAGTTTATATTCCTGCCTTTAAATAACAATTAATAACCATGCTACATCAGCAAAGCCTGTGTGTCTATGGCTTAGGCTCCTCCTGTAATAAAATCCTAATCAGCCCTGGGGGTGTTTCTATGTAACCATTTTTGTTCAGATGATGAATGTGCTTTTGAAACCGGCCTTCCTCTTGTCTCCATTTTTCTGGTGGTGCTTCCCGTCACAGACTCCTCTTGGTGCACATGGACTGAGTTCCTTTTGGTCTAAACTGAGCCACAAGGCAGGTTTTAGATATGCCCTTAGTGGTCACTGCCAGGCACTTTGTCTGCAGAGCTGAAACAAGAGCTGGGCTGGAGAGAGCAGTGAGCTCTGCATGGGAATCTCCTGGTCAACATTAACTTTGTGCCCTAGTGATCTGCTTCTGAAATGCCATGCTGCTTGCTAAGGTAGCTGTAACATTTCTTTTCAGGAGACATTATATCAGGAATTTGGTTCAGTTTGCCATGTGCAGTGCCATTCAGAGCAGAGTTCTGAATGAAAGAAGAAGGAGACCAACACAGTGCCTAATAATTGCATTTTAATAGTTTGATTTAAGCTGTGCAATCTCCATTGCCTCTACCTCCAAATGATGAAATGTGCTCTGCTTGTATGCAGGAAGCTCTGCAGAGGCATAAGAACAAAATGCTGGGGGGCAGTTGCTAACATATTAGTATTTGTAATTTTTWTTTTTTTTAGGCTAGGTTACTTTAATTAAAGATCTGCTTGAAGGGAAAAATAGCATTTATTTTGAACTATGAATCCATTTTACTTTTTTTACACTTGATATGTAGGCCAGACTCCTACTTTGTACAGATCAGTTGGAGTCAGAATTTGGACCAGTGGACCATTTAATTGCCTTAACAAGTACCATAAATTACAGACTATCACCACTGTTTAGACTCTGTATTTGTCAATTAAATTCAGAATGTAAGAGTTTACTTTTTGTATTTTTTCTAAGAATGTTTGCTATTTGTTTCTGAATATTAAGATTTCTTTATATTTATTGTCATTAAATAAAGTCTATTTTAAAATAACAATACATCTGATGTTTATTAGTGTTATTTGTTTTTCCTTGAATGATACTGCTGCTGCCAACTGCCACATTTAAATTACTACAGTGTCATCYCTCTCTCATTTCCATATTCATCCTCTTTTTCAGTCTTATTCCATTAAACTGTTGCTAGTGCTGAAATTCATCTCCTGTGTTTTTCTGCATCCCCTAGGTGGAAGTCATTCCTTTCATCACCAAGTTCATGACAAGGACCATTATGTTCTCATACAAATAAACAGTTTAGATCTTTATAACCTTTCACTCCCATCTTGACAAACCCTGTGCAATGTTTCAGAGTCACCATTTATTTTTTCGTCTGGGTAGAGTCTGGGATGCTCCCAGCTCCAGGGAGTCCGCTCTGTCTCTCCCTGCCATCCAGCCAGCCATCAGTTCTCTTCTGCTTCTGCTCTGGCTCTTGCTGTCTGCTTCAAGAAAATCCTTCTCTAAGACTTAGAGAACAGAAAGGTTAGAGGGTGATTTAAATAGAGACCTTCACTGCACTGTGGAGTGTTGTTTTATTTCACATAGGGATTCCCAGGATCTGCTTTCAGCAGCTTTAAGATAGTTGTAGAAGCAGAAGTACTGCCACTTCTGACCTGTTCTCTGCTGACCAAGGGCTATTGTGTCTCACAGATGCCAGTACCCACATTGCTCTGCCACTCCTGCTTTTGTTTGGTTTTGTCAGACCAAGAACAGAAGAAGCTTTATAATAAAGATTATTGTCCCACAAGCAGAAGTATATAGTACGATCATAGCCCAGATCTATATGAGGACTGTGCATTTTAAAAATGACTGATAAATTTAAAACTGTTCAAAGGACAGGCTTTAGTTATTTTTCTACTTAATGCACAAATAGCCAMAGTAGCATTTTACTGCTGGTGATGCTAGAATGTAGCTCCTCCTGTCACAGAGCTGATGAAGTGCACTTATTTTGTACAGTCAGTGTGAACCAGATGCAAGCACAGAGTTCTCTGCCCCACCTGGAACACCCAGCCCTGCTACTGTGCTCTGCCTGCACATCACCAGAGATGTCAGCAAAGGTATGAGCAACTCACACCAAGTCTAGATTTTTCTCTGGTATGCCTACCTGTCATTTCCAGGCTATTATATAAGGCTGCTTTTCAATACAGTGGAGAAAGTGATCGTGACTGCAAGTTCTATTTTTATTTGTGTTTTTGTGGACCTCAAGCACAGATTGGGAGCAGGTATGCAAAACACTGAAATGATACGTAGTTAGTCATAAATAACCTCAAAACAGATTGGAGCGATATTTTCCWCATAAGAAAAATAATATTTTTAATAGCCTGATAATAGTCAAAAATTATTTTCAGGGAAGTTGAAGAAAGTGGTTTTTATTTACAAGCTGTAAGTGCATCAAAACAAGAGCCTTTTAATATTGCTTTCTACGATTTCTGCTGCATTCTGTGGAATTATCGCAGCATACATCCTGTAAAAGCAATGCTAGTTGCTGAGATTAAAGTTAATCAGTCAGCRATTGTATTAATTTTATCAAGATACACTATTCTCTACAAACATGTTGTCTATAGCAGTATCCTAAATGCTGAAGAGAAAGGAGAAAAGGTACACAACACAGACTTAAAGGAGGAGAAAATCCCACTGCATTCCATGCTGCAACATGCACGGGCCAGGACACCAAAAAGCYACGTCTAGCATGTGAGGAGAGCTGGGGGAAGGATGAGGTGGGGGAAGAAACTCATATTTTAAGTTGTGCGACAGAAATTACTGCCAGCTGTGATAGCATTAACACAAAACCAGGGATGGGGCAGGGGGAGTGTTAGGCATTCGTGCAGTATCATGTAAGCCTCTCACACAATTGCTCAGCTTTTGGGTGGACGTCACACAAGTGCCTAAATAAGCTGTGCTGGGAGCCGGGGCCCCCTGCGGCCACCACCTTACCTGCCCATTCTCTGTGATCCCCTTGCTCTCCTGTTACAGCCACACTGTGCTCATTCATGCAGCCGTGTTCTAAACCGGTCTGGCTGCTCACACTGAGAGTAACTTGTAAGCCTCTCTGGAAGGGCACTGCAGGATCTTCGCTTGCTGCAGCCAGGCAATCCAATGGAAAATGTGACCAACRCTGCTAGGCTGGCATTCAGCCCTGAACATCCATCCCTTCCATTGAGGATCGAGGGTGCTTGGGGTTTGTCATGTTCTCGGGTTTTATAGAGCCCAGAGTACCCTGACTGCCAGGGGTTAAGGTTACTTGTCCTGTGAAAATATTTTGGCATCCGTGCCAACATAGGGAGGCAGTGGCTCTGTCTTCTCCCTGTCACCCTGGGGCTGCCTGCTGCCAATCCCTGTGTTTGTGCAGCTGTCYGCTGGGCAGAGGAGTGTGGCTGCACAGAGGGATGTGCTGGCATGGGTGGCCSTGCTGGCACGGGTGGCTGTGACCACACGGGCGGCCCGTAGCCACATGGGCAGCCTGACAGAGGGTCCTGCAGGGTGGGAAGGGGACATGAGGCAGCAGGAGAGAGAGCCCAGCATTGGGGAAGCCTCTGGCCCAAGAAATCTAACAAAACACAACCAAATGGGCTCCTCATCCCACAGTTTAGCGAGCTGAAAAGAGAGGCATTTGCCTGCCTGCCTAAGCTGCTTACACAGGTGAATGGGCAGGGTTGTGCCTTTAAGAATCCCCTRCATAGCTGCAAACAAGCAGAGCTGGTCTTGGCACCTGCTCTGTGTCCTCTGAATATCCCTATTCAGTGTAGCTATTGTGCTTTGAGATCAGGCTTCACCTGAAGCCAAGTGAATTTTCCAAGTTCAGACCTGCTCTCTCTGTGTTCATATCTTTAACTACACAGAAGATTATATAGATGGTTAAAAACTCTCAGAGTCGGGCCCTTAATCGTTGTCCTYAATGGGATTTTGCAAATAATACGGCACTGTTCTTTCCGAGATTGCCAAAATGTCACATGGACATTTGAGAGCCCCGGGACAACAAGGGAGTTTCACGCCAGCAACCTGCAGGAGCCAGCCTTGGGACAGAGGGGACACCAGACAGGGGTGTTTGCAGGAGGTCTTGGCCAGAGGCAGAGGTCACAGGGCGAGGGCAGCAGCTGTCCCATCCCCAGCCACACAGCCCCAGGTTACAGCGCTGACAGCCATGCCAAAGCAAGCACTGGAAGCTTCTTGTTAATTAGTAACTACTTACTTAGACCTGGCAAAGGCAAAAACTGATCAGCCTTTCCTGGAGCACTGTACCAGTTATGGACCTGTTACTGCTCACAGCAGCTTTCTTTCTAAAAGATGCTAAAGTATTTCTTCTTATCTCTTAAAATGGTATATGTGAACATTGTATCCATTTTTGCACATGGCTACAAATAAAAGAAAAAGACTGTATTTGTGCTCTTCGTAACTTAAAGCTTCTACTTAGGGACATAAATAAATAAATAAATAAATAAGCCAAACTGATTTTCTGTCCTTGTCAGCCTGGTCCTGTATTTTTTTTCCCCAGTGATCTACAAGGGAGAAAAAAATGTCACCATCCCCCAAGAGCAGCGATTAACAAATCCTTTCTTATCTTGCAGCTGAAGTAATGACATCTTATTGACAGTGCAGCAGAACAAACAATGTCTTATTGAAAGCACCAGTGCTGGAGGATTTGGGCTGTCCTCGGGACTTGAGACCCAGTAGTGACAGCAGGTTTTACTGCTAAATCAAAGACAGTGTCTGCTCTGGTTCTCCAATGGCCTTTAGCAGTGTCAGGCACACAGAAGTTGTGCATAGTTCACGGAGGAATCACCAACCCATAAACTCAGTCCAGTGCAGGGACCTTCCTACAAGAAGTATGCCCAAAGCAGCAAGCAGTTAAAGTATGATCTGTGGGACATAGGGGAAAAGTGCTGGAACTTTTCTTAAAGACTGTGCTTGACATAAGGGTTAGTCTGGAAATATAGGTCCATCCATTTCTTACAACCTGGTTTAGCCTTATCAGAGTCTATGACAAGTCACTTGCTAATTTCTGTACCTCATCAAGTTAATTAGTCTCGGTGCAGACTTGCAGCTGTTTGATGCACAAACGTGAATTGGTGATTTGGGTTTTGATTTTCATGTCTGTCTGTGCTTTTGTTAAAATTATGAATGTGCCTCGGTTCTTTAGATAGGTTCTCCTTCTAGTAATCTCTTGTGGGTAAGAAGAGGCTTTTGCAAGGTATCAGAGTTAGGTCCATTGTATACACGTGGCTTCGTACAGATGAAAACTCAGTCAGACAGAAAATGTAACTGTGCCTCTCAAAATCACTCAAGCATAGGGGAAACAAAAATGTGGAAAATGTTGTAGCACTAAAGCCTACAGCTTCAAGTAATCTAAGCCACCRCTGTCAGAGCTCAATCACATATCCTGTGTCCTTGAGCTTTCGTATGCATTTTTCAGCCATCACTTGTGTTTTCTCAACATCCTGATGAACCGGCTCAAGATGCAAAACTGAGAGAGAACTAACTAAAATCATACAAACACTGAATATTCTACCAGCTTATCAAAGGGCCAGTGGACACTATTTCTGGTGCACAGAAAGAGCAGAACTCCATGTGAAGGCACAGCAGGGGAGGACAGCAAGACCCACTTGGAGTGCTTTAAAGTCTTGTAGACCCATGTCCTGGTGTCCTGGCTGGGGAGGTGGAAGAGGGAGTTGAGTGGGTCTAACAGATCTCTACTACCCACAGGTCATCATTCTCCCTCTCCATCAACCTTCACAAAGCACAGCATTCCTCAGCCCTTTGTGAAGATGATTCAACTCATCAGCCTGAAAGAAAATCACACCATTTTTACCTATTCAATTTTATTCTGGGTAAGTGAGTCAACCTGGCTCACTACAGATCCAAACTGCACCAGGAACAGAGCAAGGGTTGAAGGAACACACAGTCAGAAGCTGGGGGATCAAATCTGCCCTGTCAGRGGTAATGATGTATTAGAAAAACTGAGCCATCCTCAGCCTTGTGACTGCAGCTCTCTAAGTTCCATTACTTCACAGAATAGCAAGTTGGTTTGCAAATGCTTTTTTTTATTCTTTATGTTTGTGTTTACAAAACCAAGGCATCACATCTGTGCCACACATATATAATAGACTAAGACAGAATGAGAACATGCATTAAGAAAGTGCTCAATTTATGAGTATTAAATTTAACAGATCTTAGATTAAATACAGCTTACACTGTTGAGTAAACAAAGATTAATGTTAAACCCTGTTTGTGCTACAGCAGGAGTGAGGAACATGTGATGTCTTAACTTGTGAATATGCATTTTCAAAATGCAGCAGCAAGGCCAGAAGGAAAGTGGAAGGAAACCAAATTCAAGCCCCCTGAGGAAGCTGAACATCCACCAAGGCCTGGCAAGGAGAATGCTGAAGGACCTGTGACAGAGCAAGGCTTGTTCTCACAACTGGCTTCTCAAACGGCCACTAATAATGCTGGCAAACATCTRCCTCAGGAATACCACTTCCATTTTTCAAGATAATCCTCTTCAATTAAAGCTGAATTCTCAGGAAAATAAAAACTTATTAACTATTTAAATAAATATTTCAATAGAGAAAGAAATTCTTACAATAACCAGTCAGGACATCCCCAGCAGTTCTTCTCTCATATTTGCTACTGTAGGTGCTAAATGTTAGAGGCTTTGAGCCAGATTATTCCTGATTAAATGTGCAAGAGATGATCTGTGGGTTCAGCAGCCAAGCCCAAAGAGACTATATTCAGCATGATAGCCAAGAGAGTCTCCAAATTCCCTCTTCTTCACCCAGGAATAAGATGTAAGTGTGCCCAAACCTCAGTTCTGAAGTGGAAATGTTTTCCCTCCTCCAGCTTCAGAATTGCCTGATTCGTACCTATGACCTAATAAACATCCTCTGCTTTGTCTGGCTTTTGCAAAAATTAAAAATATCCTATTTGACACTTAGATATCCCATATTTAATCACTTTTGTACAAAAAAATTCCCAAACATTTGCTTCTCCCTGTTGGTTCTGGTTTTAACTTGGTCTTCCAAAGAAGGAGGACTGACTATACTTGTACTTCATAGCTTATGGTCAAAATGATGTCAGGGCAGTTCTTCTCTGCCCCACTCTGGTGTGCTCTCTCAGCAGCAGAAAGCTCATAAGAATCCAGCAGCCACCACATCCAAGTCCARCATCTGGCTCCAGTCAGCCTCAGACATAAGCCTAAACACTTAGCACTCTATCTTATCATCCCTTTTTTGCTTTATCTTTCCAGTGTGACAGGAGTTTCATCTCTTAAAATATAAACATTCTCTGCCTTTAAATACCAACATTCTCATCTGGCTTACCTATAATTAAACCATTATTAGAGTTACTTAATTTTATTTCACACATAGTTTAAGGATGASAAAAAAATACCACAAAATCATGTGTGGCTCTTTGCATTGATTTCATTTATTTCCATTGTCCAGCCTTAAATGGGATTGTGACTTGAAAGGGTATACTGTAGATAAAATTTTTGATTGCCCAACACTGGAAGGGTTATAAAACTGTGAACACACCATCTGAAAAAGAAATATATTACTTTCCTTCAAGAATCTCCATTTCTGAGTTCATAGGCCCCTTAGGTCCACGTTACCTAATGAATTATCTTCAATCATACTGGTAATACATTAATGGAAATGTTACATTTGGTCACAATTTGCAAAATTCATACAGATAAATCTAATTATTTTCAATCATTTTAAMTATTTTAATTGCAGGACCATGAGGTGAAACGTAGCTATTCCTGAGGCAGACAGTTTTCCAAAGAGGACATTCWATGCTTGGTATATCCAAGTATGATGAATCCCTCCTTTTTCTGCAACAAAGCCACTGGAGATGTTTGCATTTACATTTTCAAAGCGTTTTCTCAGTCAAATTCTCTCCAAAATTTCTCTCCACAATTTTCTCCAAACCCCCCTGGAAATGTACTTTGCAGAAAGATCAGAAGARCCATCTTTGGTCTGTATTCCTCTTTTAATTTGACTGACACAAAGAACCTGGGCTGTATTGCCTCCCAGGCCAAGAAAGTACATCTTCATTTAGTCACAGTGAAACCAAACATTTGTTTTCATTAAATTAAAACTGCAGAGGAGATAATCCCAGTTATTAATGAGCTTCAGATATACTTTTTTATATACTATAAAAAATAAACGAATGACGTATAACACACATTTCTAAATGACCATAAGTAAATAAACACCAGGAAGGACACCAGGAATCTGGTGAACAGTCACACACCTTGCTCTTYTCTAAAAGATCCCACCTCTAAGGTGACAACACAAAAATATGGTCCAAGATTTTTTTTTCTTTTTATTGTAAGACATAAACAAGTGTCTTAAAGTAATGGCTGAGAAGACAAACTTAACCTGTAGGCTGATACTGATCTCTCAGAGAAGCAAGGAGCAGGGTTGGGGTCAGGGCATTCCTCCAGCTTGGTTGATGGCACCACCACTTAAAAGAACAGTAAGGAAAATGGGCAGGGAGAGTAGAGGGAGGGGTGAGCCACAGGGCCAAGTTTCACCTAAATCAGCATGATAATCACATTTCTTCACAGAATATTGTCCTTAAGAAAGGTTGTTCTGAGCCTTGCTCCTTAATAAAAGGGATAATAGCTCATGAGAGCAACAATCACAGGAGATATTTCTAGTCAGCTTTTGTTCTTGTACTTGGCCAGTTTATGTGCAGCCTAAGGGTATAAATAGAGAGACTATAGAGGGGATTAACAGGCTTGCTTTCTAGCAGGGCTCATGTGCCAAAGCGATGACTCTATTAGCATTGTTTCCCCTGAAAGGTTTGTTTCACTCAGAAACCGGCACAAAGGCACCAAACTCCTTCTGGGGCCCCATTTTCCCCCCTGAAGAGGAGGGAGGCCTCACTTRTGGATCTAAATACTTTGGTGTTTATCCTTTTATCTGGGATAACCCAAAGAGGTTTTCCACCCCTCCTTTGCCAAAATCACAGGCAAGGTTTCTGGGGGGAATTTACACCCCTACAGATCCCCATTAGAAGAGTCACTTCGCCACTACAGCATTTTAACACTGAATATTATTTGATGAACAGGTTGTTAGAGGTGACTGTAGTCTTTCACTCTTCTGTGCACTGGCAGCCTAACAGAATGCTCCAGAGGGTAGGGAATACAGGGATTTAAAAGCTAAGCCTCATCTCCCCAGGTTTTAGGGCTCTGGAGCAAGCCACTTCAGGATCCTGCTGTAATTAACTTTTCAGGCACTTTTCAGGTGTGATCATTCTGATCCATTTTGATTGACATTGGGATGGGGTGAATCACCTGGAGGTCAACAAGAACTGGCTGAGTTGTCTGCAGGTGACCAGACAGGGTTGTATTTCTGCTCCTGTTTTCTWCCTCCCATGGACAATTTCTTTCACTAAGCTCCCAGCTACTCAGATAACCCCCAGTTACTGAGTTAACTCTCAATTTTGGGGTGTTTTTTGTTTGTTTATTTTTAAACATAATCTCATTTTTGCAAAGCTTTTTAAAAATTAATATTTCCTTTTTAGGGATAGATCTCACATGGATGTAATCATCATGGAGAATGMAGAGAGGCACAGCAGAGAGTGCAGTGACTTCCCACAGAGTGAAAAGCTGGAGAAAATTAACATGGAACATCCATCAGCACAGGAGCAACAGGACATTGCTCTGTACTAGCACTCCATAGGATTCACCAGAATGTTGACACATGTTATTAAATTAAATATTATCACCTTGCTCTGGATAAGCTCTAGATTAGAGTACATCAAGGGATGAAGACTATGGCTGACTCTGTTCCCACAGATACATCTTTAAGCAATTTGAAAAATGAATCAGTCTGATTTTGACCATCCATGTGGTGGGCAAGGTCTCCCTGGTGGGCCATACTCAGCTGCATGATCCTGTCTGATATGTGCAGAGCTCAATTCAAGCAAGTGGAAACAACGGTCTGCRTGACAGGATAATCATTCATCCTGGGTGCCTCGTGCATGGCCAGGATGGAGCAGAGAGCCATCTAAATAGCTAAGTGTGATTCACTGCACCRTAATTCAAAGTCAGTGGTATCTTTTATTAATCATTTATAGAACTGTGTATTATTAATATATGCAGAAGCAGCTGTCTCCCTCTCTCTCTGGTGGAATTTGCTTTTGTGAGTGATTTGGGGGAGACCAAGGAGACGAAGAGCCAGAAGCCCAGCAGAGCTTTCCCAAAAGAGCAGGGGAGCTGCAGAAGTAGGTCATAAAATGTCTCAGGAGATAGATTGGTCCTTCCCTCATTAGGATAATTAGGGTATTTTTCAGCACCCAGGACCTTAGCTCGTACAAAGGAGTTTGGTCCCATTGATTCCATTTCAGCCAGACATATTGACACTTCCTGAAAATTAGGCCCATGATTATTTAAATATAAAGAAATACCCTTCAATATATCTCAATTACAAGCCCAAAAGATATACTGGGTGGGCAATAACACTAAGCAGGACAGGCAACACACTGCAGTAACAATAACATTTTAATGTTCCTTAAGACATGGGCCAAAGTGCTTTTACTGCTTCATCATGAATACATTATAGAGATATAGAGGCTGTCTCCATGTGTTTATAAAGCAGATATTGCTTCATTCTTATTCACTGGTCCATGTTTTCTGCTTACMAGCACATTAGAGCTGCCCCACTACGAGTTCTTCCACTCGAGGACTGAATCTCTGAACACTCTGAAAGATTAAAAAGGACTCTTGGTTTTACAGAAATCCTCTTGGCTTTACAGAAATCAGCTCCTCCTATTTAGATACCTAATGAAATTCATAGCAAGCATTTCCCAGCGTTTTTTCTTTTCAATCTTTTTATTGGCCTGTTCCCYGCAGCACCTTACAACACAGCAAGACCAGCTTGCTTAGTCTGCTAATATTTATACTGTTCCATGAAAAAGCAATTTTAAGGAATGACGTATCTACCTCTTAGCAGCCTTTATAATTAAGTAAAACAGAAAAACTTTTTTTTGTTTTCTTACAAGAACTGAATATGAAATATTTTCCCTCCCCAGTTTAAGACCAAATTTATACATTCTGCAACCAAAGGAAAACCCAAGACCTTGGGAAGTTTTCCACAACCATATTTAGAAGCCTGGAAAAAGCTGGAGTAAACCTTTTTCACCAGGRGTTTAGGGAAAGCAGAAGTCCTGTGCCAATGTGCAATTATCTAAAATGACAGCACAAAATTATTTCATTAGAAGTAACTCAGTGAGTCCTTCCCAGTTAATTCTTATCCCAGCTGCCGTCCAGAATCTGGGCACACTCTTGCCAAGTTTGAAACCAGGGAAGCCTGACTTGAGTCAAAGCTTTCAGAATCCCAGGAGGGGGCCTGGACTCACCCTCATGGTCGAAAGAAGAACAGAAATGTTCCTCCCTGTTCCATTTGTCCCTCCTCCTCCTCCCTCTTCCTCCTAGCTTGGACCAGAAACACATCATTTTAGCCAAGAACCTTTCTGTAAGGATTTGTATCCATAAGAAAAAGAATATTTTCCCTTAACAGCTTCAGTTTAGAATAA